AGAAGTGGGGAGCTTGAGGAGGGAAGAAGGAGGGTGAGATGTTGAGAAGTAGAAGGGGAAAGTGGGAAAGGAAGATGAATAGAGATTTGATTTAAGAGATCGGGATTGACCGATGGTTGTGAGGAGGTTAGGTATTGTGTAGGTGGAAGTAGTGTGTGTAGATGAAGGGGTGGAGGGGTGTGTTACGATAGTAACAACTGACTAATTAGGAGAGCTTGGGCCTTGTGCAAAAGCGATCAGATTTCATCGAATTAATATGTGATCTGGGTCACTTTAAGATCGTATGTGCACGCACTATCAGAAAACACGTGACTTGGAGCTTTTGGAGCTTGAGGATCCAAGGGAGTATGAATATCTATATAATCAAGATGGATTCCCTTTGTATAGAGCTTTGTGCTCAAGATCAATCATTTAGTATATCCTACTATTAGTTACGAATTGCATATCATTATTGTCATTACTTAAGTCCCTGCTTGACGCCTAGTTATAAACCACCTCGAGAGCCTAGAGCACTTCCACGTGATCTAGACGGCAAACCTCGTAACAGGGTGAAAGGATGAGAATAGAGAAGTAATTAAATAATTAAATGAATTATATACTTTAATCTCTTAGTATTTGAGGAGTTTGGATAGGATAGGATTGAATGAGATGAGTACAGTATAAAACTATAATCTTTTAATAAGAAAATTTTTTAATTAATAAATAAAAATTTTCAAAATTTATTTATAATATAATTATATATATGTTACGTCCAAAACGATTAGTATGTCACATGACCATAAAACATGTGATGGAACGGTGAGGAACGAACGTTCCTAGGAACAACCAGGAACGACGATTCCTAGTTAACCATAGGCACGAAGGACTATATAATCAAGATGGATTTCTTTTGTATAGAGCTTCGTGCTCAAGATCAATCATTTAGTATACTCTACTATTAGTTACGAATTGCATATCATTATTGTCATTACTTCAAGTCCCTGCTTGACGCCTAGTTATAAACCTACTTCGAGAGCCTAGAGCACTTCCACGTGATCTAGACGGCAAACCTCGTAACAATATATTGTTAACTTTAGTTATTTTTATTGAATATCAAAAAAAGTTTAATTTTAATTTTAGATTACAGAAAATTATAATATTTTTAAAACAAATAATTAATTAATACTTAATTATCTTTTTAAAATAAATATTATGTTAAAAGGAATGACCTGTCACGATTCATTAATTCACGTGACCTCGAGGACCTTGAGGACCTTTTGGACCTTAGGGTCCCAAAGGTCCTCAAAAGATGATATAGGGTATATAAACATTCATTTAGTCTCGTAGTTAAGGAGCTTTGTGCTCAACTTAGTTATCAATTAGATTACCTACATTCTACTTGATCTAGTAACGACTTCACTTCCAAGTGAAGACCAGTGATAAAGCCTTAACCCACAACTACCAACCAGACGAAACCTTAGGCAGCCGCTGCCTCCAGTATAGTATCGTTACATGACCTTACACAGGGAATAGTGGGAAGCTGATAGGGCAGAACTGAGGTAATATTGGTCTAGTAGGTTAATCACTCTTCTAAGTTCTACGGAAGTGCGAAGCTCTCTTACAGAGAGCTTCTCAATCTAGTCCTAATAGGACTAGTGTCCTGTGCACGTGCTACGCAGGAACCATTCACTTTAACATATTATTTAAATATGTTTTAAAAAATCTTTAATTCTTAAAACATTGTAATATTATACAATAATCAAAATACAATAATCAAATCTAAGATTAAGAATTATCTACAAGATTTTTATATACATTTTAAATATTTTTAACGTAATAAGTAGTTGTAACGATACTGTACTGGATGTGACGCCTCACACCTCCGGGTCACGTGGCATGCCCCGTTTGTATTTAATCATAGGAAAACTCTCTACTCTTGTTTTCCTTCTTCTTTTCTCCTTAGCTTAGTATTTTCTAATACAAGATACTTTACCCAGTATTCTTGAGTGTGACACTGGAGGCAGCGGCTGCCTAAGGTTTCGTCTGGTTGGTAGTTATGGGTTAAGGCTTTATCATTGGTATTCACTTGGAATGTTACAACGGCTATCTTCTATGCCGCGTCATATGACTAAACCAAGGTAACGTGATTAAAGTCACGTTATGGACCGCTGAGGAACGCTGGCTGTCCAGGACCGCGCAGCGGTCCTGACTAGCCATAGGCATGAAGGTCTATATAATCAAGATGGATTTCCTTTGTATAGAGCTTCGTGCTCAAGATCAATCATTTAGTATATCCTACTATTAGTTACGAATTGCATATCATTATTGTCATTACTTAAGTCCCTGCTTGACGCCTAGTTATAAACCACCTCGAGAGCCTAGAGCACTTCCACGTGATCTAGACGGCAAACCTCGTAACATGGAAGTGAATTCGTTACTAGATCAAGTAGAATGTAGATAAACTAATTAGTAACTAAGTTGAGCAAAAAGCTTCTTTACTATAAAACTATTCTGACTATATAATGAATCCTTTTCTGGAGCCCTAAGGAGCCTACGCTCCTAGAGGCTCCATCACGTGATCCCTACTTGCCTCAGGACACTAATCCTGGCACGATTCGCAACCTAGGATAATATAGCTCCTAGGATAATTGTCCTGGGACAATTATTATCCTAGGACACTTGTCCTCATAACTATGTGGTTGCCTAACCGTTTATACACTTGTCCTAGGATTCCTTATCGATAAGGGAACCGCGGGAAACAGCGGCCCAAACCCCGATACTTGGTTTTATTGTATAATATTAGTCGTGGTTCGTGACAGTAGTAGTAATATAGTTTTTAATCTTAAGTCTTTATAAAATATTTTCCCGATGGGATAGATTAGGTATCCGGTAATATTCATTGATAAATTTATATGAGATTACATATATACTTGGCGTTATAAAGTAATTCCGGGATAATGGGGATGCCGATGCATAAGAACGGGTTTTGATGGCGTGGTAGGGGATTGTATGTTATGGTATGGTAGTACCGGATGTTCCTGAGCTATGAGAATGTTGCAACTTGCAGGTGATGTGTATGAGTATGAGTATGGGTGGGGAGTTTCTGTTTTAATAATGATTCTGGGGCTGAGAAAGAAACATGGGGAGGGGATTAGTTTCTATAGCTAGGTACTGTGAGTCTGTGATCGGTGATGGATGTCAGCTTAGCCTTATTGGTGCAGATGTGATATGTAACTGATTACATGATTTAGTATGTTAAAATTCCTAGGCATATCGACAATAGTAAAGATCCTTTATAATCATGAACTAATAGATCGTAGATGAACTTCTGAAGTGAGTTGGTTATTGAACAGGTGATTAAAATATCGATCGAAGATGGGATTGGATTACCTAGTATATTATAAAAAACGGGAGGATACGACGCTGAAGCTCGGAGATAAGATATATTATGGAAAGAAATAAAATTCCTAAATGCCGTGGCCAATGGTTTGTGATGATGGGGTGCAGGAGTTGTGTCCGATATCCGATATATGCCTCCTAGTTTTAAGGTGAGGTGAGAGTGAGAGTGGGAGCTAAGACCCCTCGTCTAAGGAAGGATGTGTGGAAGGATGTGAGAAGCGAACTGCAGTCTCAGTCTGTAAAGATGTTTTTTGGTGGGACCTAGGCGTCGGATAGGTTGGTGGATGGCGTCAACATTAAATGATTTGAATATGTCAATACTTACGGAGTAGACGATGGCTCGCCATGTTATCTAGTTGGTGTGAGGAGGCGTAGAAGTAGTTGTATTTCTAATTTTGAATGTCCGTAGGAAGCTATTTGGAAGAACGGCGAAGGAAATAAGACCTACATTGTGACCGAGTTTGTGTTTTTTGGAGAAGCTTGGTCTGTAAGCACCAAAGTATTTTGATAATCAGATGATGAATATGACTCTTGCCGGGGAGAAACATGGCATGTGTAAATCAAGAGGGAACGCCTTGTTGATTTATCGATGTCCACCAGAATTCCGATGTATCCGTTAGTAAGGTTGATAATTTGTTCCACGTGCCGCATGCAAGAAGTCGAAATGGTGATTAGAATGTCCCACCGAAATGCAGAAGAATTTTCACACTTTCATTCCTACCTTACTGAATGAGAAATGGTGAAGGTATTGATGAATCATGAATGACTCTTCTCGGGAAAATCGGAGTTGGGATGGTCGTTGAAATGGCTCGACTGCTGAAGTAATAAATGTGGAGGCAAGGCACGAAAGAAAACGTGGTGGTTGGATGATCTTTCGATGATTTTGCATGGATAATAAGTAAGCACAGTAGCCAATGCGGCATGGATGGAACGGACATTTAAGTTAAGTGAGAGGAGAGAGGAGTTTACTAGTGGGGCTGAGGACGGGTTGGGAATGGATATCATTGGTGAAAGATGTTGTTAGACGTGAGGAATATTCTTTTCTCTCCTTGGTGCAGTTTTATCGACTTGCTGTTTTAATCGAGGAAAGTAGCTGAGAGGATATGGATTATTAATTATTGATTGATTATTCAAGGACCAGAGTATAGTTGGCTTGATGTGTCGATTGTGTTGTCAGACGTTTGGTTGGGATGTATGGTTGAGGGAACACAAGAATGAGAGTTGGAGTGAATCTTACAAAGGTTTACGTTGATATTGAGGAAATGGAGAAGATTTATAGAAACTTAATTGTCTAATCGTGAGGATATGAAATTATGAAGATATAAAAGTATAACATTTTGTCGCGCGGTTGTTTTGTTGCACGGATGTTGTTCATTTTGACTTGTTGATGTTCTGCTGTAGCTGTGGATACCTACTCAGTCCATCACCCCACGTCATGCCCATGCACGCCAAGCCCTATAGCTTTTTGACGCATTTGCTTAGCTACGTACGGAGTACAAAGTATCGAGCCCGAACGAAGAAGGGTCATGGATAAAACGATGTGATGTGAGAATTTGTGTAATGAACCGATGACTTCTGAAGAGTACTAGGTATTTTAATTACTCATACTCTTATTCATCGACGTTTGGAAATTAAAACATAGAAATTAAAATGAAAAATAAGAAAAAGAAGTAGAAGGTTATTGAAAATCACTTGGGACAATATGATATCACCGATTCATCCGATTCTAAATGCCGCCGCTTGCGGTACTTGGCTTCAAAGTGTTGGCTTAGTCATCTATCAAAATCGAATTTACCCATCTGCATCGAAAATTAAAAATCAATCTAACTCTTATTATCCTCTAAGTAAAATATTCTTTTGGATGCAACAACTGTAAGAATAAACAACCAAAAACAGCCTCCACCTTCGCAAATCAATGCCGCAAGTCAGTGCCGCAACATCCAATCCCTTGTCACTCGAAACCTTGTACTAGCTGGCCTTCATCTCGATTCTACGGACTCTATGCACATTTTTATCAATATCAGTCAATATGGCGCGAAATCGGTCAGTAAATTCATTGTTTCATTGTTTCATTCGACATCGGCATCGGCATTCACGGACTTATGACCGCTGGCACTTTCTTTCCTTTAATTGTTAATTCATTTCATCATGGGAATCTTATTTATTTGTCGTCATGTTCCCATTATGCTTCCACCTCCTTCCGATCTCTTTACACACATTTTCCTTTTTGGCATAAGAGTATTCTTCTAGAATATTTCTTTCTTTTGTTCCACAATTTTGTTTTCATCAGTATACATATCTACTGAACGCCCGCACTTGTTATTCCCCTTTGCCTCTTTACTATTCCATATACCTGATACCCTAGATTATTTCAGCCGTGTATCTGTTGATGCACGACTCATTTCTTACTGTCTGTCGCATTTTGAATACTAGCACTGCACGAAATCAATACAGATGCCTTCATATATGCGAAACCTCACATTATACAGCAGTCTTATACTGCTTGGGCTTTTACCTCTAATAACCGCACACGGCGATGACGAACCAGAAATGAATATGGGCATGCAGATGAGTTCGGTATCCACCACTATAGCTACAGCTACGGATTCAACTGTTGTGAACAACACCAATATAGCTGAATCTAGCTATTTTCAACATCCTGAACTTGGAGGTCTCATGGTAGCTCATATTATACTCATGACCATAGGATGGGTATTCGTTCTCCCATTATGTGAGTAGCTCCAAAACAATGAATGCCTTCAAAAATCTAATATGTTTCAGGTGTGATGTTCTCAATTGCCCGATCTCGATTAAGTCTCCCTACCCAATTCGTATTCCTAGCCTCCAATGGCGGTGGTCTCTTCTGCAGTGTAATCTACACTGCCTCCACTCCGGACTTATATCCAAATAATATACATCATAAATTGGGGTGGTTCCTGATATCCTTAATAGCTGCGCAAGGGGTAATTGGGGTGATTAGTGCCTACGCGGGGCGCAAGGGCGAGAAACAGGAGGAGAACCCCGGGTATATTCCGGTTTCGAGAGAAGCAATGGCAGAGCATACCCGTATGCATGAAAGACCTAAACCTGTTACGAGATTTTCGGATGATAGTGGGCAAGGCACGGAACCAATTACTGAATCTTTACGGAGTCAATCAATATCTTTGTCTGGAGATGACGAAAATACTTTACATGAATCAGAAAAGGACGAGCCGGAAAAAGTGGGTTTGATAGAAGGTACCCGGGTGGACCAATACCTATCAAAACGACTTCCGGGATTACTTTCCGCACGTCTTTTATGCATAATTGGATTTGTATACGACGTTGTGAATCGAGTAATCCTTCTCTTGGGTTTTGCTATTCTTACATCTGGATTTGTCACATACGGTGGCTTATTCGTGAGTTTTGCCAGTTCTATGAAGATATGTCCAATTACTAAATATTATTGCAGAAAGGATCGGAGATTTATAGCGGTCTTGCCCATTTTATCAAAGGAGGAGTTTTCTTCTGGTATGGAATTTTAACCCTCGGTAGATGGGCAGGTTGTTTCGCTGAGATTGGTTGGTCTTGGAATATTAAGCCTGATAACGAACGACGATTCACTCCAACAGCTGAATTTGTGGAGAGTTTCCTCATTTTCTTATATGGATCTACAAATGTTTTCTTGGAACATTTAGCTGCTTGGGGAAGTGCATGGAGTGCACAAGATCTTGAGCATATTTCAATTACCATTATGTTTATTGGTGGTGGATTGGTGAGTCTGCACGCTATAATTTCACAACCACTTCTAACATGCGCAGTGTGGTATGTTCATTGAATCAAACAAGATCCGCAACTTTTTAAATACGGCGGCCCAGCAATCATCATATTCGATGTCTTCTTATCACCCAGAAGCCCAGGAACCAAAATCTTATAGATTCTCAATGAACCCAATACCTGCTTTGGTTGTCATGCTATTGGGAATGATGATGAGTTCACATCATCAACATTCAATGATATCGACCATGATCCATAAACAATGGGGAACTTTACTTGTGGGCGCGGCATTTGCACGTGCGGCTACTTATGTCGTATTTTATCTTGCACCACCCACTTCGACTCTTCCTGGTAGGCCACCGACTGAAATCATTACAGCTTTCTGTTTAATGGCTGGAGGTTTGATTTTTATGGCTAGTGTATGTTCAATCTTATATTGTCTGATGCAATCAAGGCTAACAAAGTTTTAGAGCAAAGATACAGTCAAAGCAATTGAATTGAACGATCTTGATGCCATGTTTGTTTTTACCGTTTCCATGGGTCTTATCACATTCTTAATGGCTTGGATTATACTTGTGATTGCAATTAAAGGATGGGCGATGAAAAGGGAACAGAGGTGGAGTAAGGGTGTTCAGTATGAAGTTGAGTGTAATGCATAGAAGTAATAATGGTTGTAATGACTTGGAAGGAAGGGAAGGGAAGATGAAAGAGAGGAGGAATGAGTAGATAAGTCATGATATTAAGAATGGGACATGGGAAGAATAAATTTTTATGAGGTGGGAATTTGGAGTATTAGGCGTTAGATACCATGGATTGTTTGATCTTTTGGGTTTGAGTTTGAATTTTGGAATCATTGATGGAAGAAGTGGATGAAGTGATAGGAAGAAGAGGTAGAGAGAATAATTCATAATTTATAATGGGACAGGATATTTGAGAGAGAATTATATTATCACCTAACAAGCAAGCAAGCAAGCAGTGTGAGTACAGAACAGAAGCAGAGCACAATACGCACCAGCTTCATCGGTTGAACCTCGGCGAAGTAGCCCCACTATTTAAACAGACAAAATTTAGTGGGATAATAGGCTTAAATTGGGCAATAAGGTACAACAAACATCGCTAAGAGAAAAAATGGCATGTTGCCAGAGTGGTTAATGGGTAAGACTTGAATGAATTAATTCGGTTATCTTATGGTTTCGGCCTCGTAGGTTCAAATCCTGCACATGTCGGCTTTTTGTGTGTGTATCATTTTTTGAAGGTGGGGGTTTTTTGGGTTTTTCTGTTGGTGAAGGGGTCGGGAGAGAGGAGGGGAGTTTTGGGGATTATTTTTTTGAGGGGCGTTTTGAGAGGGAAGTTTGAGAGGGAAGTTTGAGAGGGGTTTAATGTTACGACCAATCCTAACAGCTACTCAGGTGACTAAGCTCATTGTCACATGACCCAATATTGTCCCACCTAGAATCACTCAACTACAGGCAGTGGGACATGATGGGAGGCGATGGGATGTACAATACGAAGGTCTATATAACCAAGATGGATTTCTTTTGTATAGAGCTTCGTGCTCAAGATCAATCATTTAGTATACTCTACTATTAGTTACGAATTGCATTATTGTCATTACTTTAAGTCCCTGCTTGACGCCTAGTTATAAACCACCTCGAGAGCCTAGAGCACTTCCACGTGATCTAGACGGCAAACCTCGTAACAATATATTATTATATTTTATTTATTATTATAAAGAAATATAAAAGAGATTAAAGGGCTTGAATAATATAAAAGATGAAGAGTGATATATAGTTATTTACTATTTATCTATTTTTATTGGATTGAGAGGGAGAGGAGGGAGAGAGCTGTCACGATTCACCATTAGGATTAGTGTCATGGGATGAAAAGGAATCACGTGATAAGGAGCCCTGAGGAGCCAGAAAGCTCCTGGGGGCTCCCTTTATCGATCATTATATAGTCAGAGTAGTTTCATAGTTTAGGAGCTTCGTGCTCAACTTAGTTATCAATTAGATTACCTACATTCTACTTGATCTAGTAACGAATTCACTTCCAAGTGAATACCAGTGATAAAGCCTTAACCCATAACTACAAACCAGACGAAACCTTAGGCAGCCGCTGCCTCCAGCACAGTATCGTTACAAGAGCTTTGATTAAAATGAGTAAACAGGTCAAAAGAAATGAGAAAATATACAGAAGGTGAGGAATTTGGAGTTCAGGAGAAGAAGAAAGAGAGAAAGTATAAAAAATAATATACACTACAAACTCTTTATAAACTATTGTGCCGTTGGTATGTAGAGCGTAGTGCATTTTTATACCGTATTGATACAATATACCATTCAGTATAAAATCAGCAAAATTGATGAAACCCAATTAGAAAATTGAAATACATGTAAAGAAAGAGTCTTTTATTTTCTTGAATTGAATTAATAGATATTTTCAATATCAAAAACTTAAATAGTGCCTGCCACACGTGCTATTCTTGTATAATAGATGATCAAGGAAATAACTCTCTTCTATGATTTTATTCTAAATCACCATTCACATCTTACACTTATGTACTTACGAAGACGAAATCCCTCATTTCACTCCTACGAACCGCTTCGTCAAACCATATATCCCAATATAATACCTCAATGAACTCTTTGCTATGAGTAAATAGACTTTACTATCTACTACTAAGAGCAGCGCATTGTATAACTGATTTTGATTCTCTACAACTGGATTCTCCGTTCTTCAAACAAACTTATAAGAGTTATGGTTGAGCGGGGGGAAATGATAATGTATGGTTATATTGAATATGATGAGAGTGGTGATTGTATAAGAATAATGAGTGGATTTGTATATAGTTTTTGGAATCTATATAGAAAAGTAAAAGCGTTTGAGGATTCCATAAGATGAAACTGATATGATTTTCATGTATATGAATTGCGTTTTATTGGGTTTCTTGAGACCAGAAAGAGCATCAGATTGAATTGATTGATTCTCTAGCTAAGCAGTTAAGCTGCGAGTATATATTCAAAAAATGAAGGAATAAGGTTAGGTCTTCAGCCTTCGGAATTAAAGTGCTTTGAAATCAAAATATTGAAAGCAAACAAACAGTATACCAAAAAGGAAAGAATGAATTAAAAGTTGAGTTTTGTTTGCTCCTTATATGCATCATGCAATATATATGCATATGCTGCCAAGATCCCAGGAGGTCAACAGATCTAGATCTCAGTCTTCAGCCTCCCGAAGTAATAGCTTAAGTACAAACACGCAAATGATAAATCACTAACTACCTAGTAGCTATAACGATAAATGAATATATGAAGAATACAATAATAAAAACTCATAAGTCTAGCAAGTACGGTGAAAAGTTCACATATCAATTCAATCACGTGACCTCACACATCTTTCCACCCCACTCCCATCACAATCCCAACCAATAACTACCGGTACTCTGCACTCACTCTATCCTACGAGTACGCAAGAACAAAAAGCACCGCAGAATATCTAGTTTCTACATACCTATGCTTCAGGTCCTGCCCCGAAAAGAAAAAGATCCAAGTCCCCCACATACCAAATCCTCACCTAATAATATATATACCAATCATCCATCCACCCCTTCACCAAAGAACCCCAAGTGTTATGCAAAAAAGAACAGCGAAAAGAATCAAAAAAACTGATCACTGGCGGGATCGAACCGCCGACCTTGGCGTGCCAGCATCTTTTGTCGTGAAACATGAGAGGATATTAGCACCACGCTCTAACCAGCTGAGCTAAGCGACCCGGGTTGTTGTTTGGTTGTGGAGGAGACAGAGGAATTTGGTTATAAGAATGAGAAACGGGAAAGAGAGTGGGAATGGAGTGGAGTGGATGAGGGAGATTTTATGGGTAGGTGGATGGATGGTGGAGGGGACAGGGTGCAGGGGAGTAATACTTTATAGCGAGAGTTAGTCATGACTCATGACTCATGAGGTAGGGTTAGGGTTTTTTGAGATGGGATAGACCGTAGACGGAGTGGGATGTAGGAAGTGGAGGGATGGTAGGTGGGGCAGATCTTGGATCTTGGGTCTTTGGTGGACAGTGGAATTGGTGGATATTTGTTTTCTGGCGCGGAGGGGGACGAGATGTGGTTTTAGGGTTTGGGTTTAAGGTGGAATTTCTACTTGGGTAGTAGGTAGCTAACAATTATTTATGCTCTTTGATATTCATTGTTGCATAGGAAGGATATGAAAGGAAAGCGACTTCGTCATTTGAGGGTCTATCATGTACCTAGTACATTTTACACAAAATTGAACAAGTGTCCAGTAACGAAACAATCCAAATGACTTTGGACGAAAGGAATATAACTATCTTCGTGTATATTTCACCATTAATATCTCTAATCTATCTCTTACAAACGGGATCCAACTGAACTATCTTCCTTAATCTCGACCAATAATTTCCCTAAAGATTGTCAGCACAATTGTCCAATAATATTAAAATAGAAAAACTTACCAGTATTGATACCTTGATACAAATCTAATAAACCTTGCTCAGCAACACCAAGTCCACCCTTAAGAATTGTCTCCTTTCTTTGAAGTTTGCCTTCCGCCAACCATTGAGACATGTCCTTACGAGCTTCCGCATATTTAGATGCAAAGTCGAAGACGATAAAACCTTGGAGACGAATACGCATTGTGATGATCATCGAGAAGTTCTGGATTAAGTCAGAAAGTGCAACAGGAGATATCGGGCGAGCAACATACCTTAGGTCCTACTGGAGCTTTAGAGTTATATTGACTGATGGCACCACACATAACAAAAGTTGAGAATGGCTTAGCTCTACTAAGAGCAAGTTCCAAAATGTCTCCTCCAACATTGTCAAAGAATACATCAATAAAGTTTGGCGTAGCAGCCTTGAACTTGGAAGCAAATTGCTCGTCTTTGTAGTTCAAAGCATCATCACAACCTAATTCCTTCAACCATTGAACTTTATCATCACTTCCTGCGAGACCTAAAACCGTCGCTCCCTTAAGCTTGGCAATCTGACAAACGACACTTCCGGTAGCACCAGCGGCACCAGAAACCACAACGAAGTCTCCGGCCTTGACCTTTCCAACCTCGAGGATTCCAAAGTAAGCAGTGAGACCAGTCACTCCAAGAACACCAAGTGCATCGGTGAGTTTGCCGTTAGGTGGAAGATCAATGGGTGTGAGATCCTTGGAATCCATGATGGCGACTTCTGTCCATCCTGTAACACCGGATACGTAATCGCCGACATTGAAATTCGATGACTTGCTGGCGATAATCTTTCCAATTGAAATACCACGCATCACCTCTCCAATCTGAACAGGTGGGACATATGATCTTGCATCTATTCCAGCATTGTGAACGTCAGTGATGATCATGTGAAGGGGCGGGGTACATCAAGAATATACCCCTAAGTATCATCCATTGATGGCTAATGGGAGAGGAAGAGAGTAGCAGCCTGTACGTACCATTTAACCAACCTCTCATGGCTGGGTCCAATGAAAGGTATAACACTTCAACCAACACTTGATCATCCTTAAGATCTGCCTCCGTCACCATTGGATTCTCCTTCTTCTCAAATGTCTCTCCTGGGACAATCTGAGCAGTAGGACGTTTGGCCAAAACCACCGATTGATATGTTGATTGAGCCATGATGTTCTTTGAGCGTTTGATCTTCTGTCCTTCCATTTTGATGTTGGTCTGCGGCGCTCCCTTATATATCTTTGAATCCTTTCGTTTCGTCGGATATACCCTTCTCAACAAATTTGTGTCTATTTCCGATTCTAGGTCGAATACTCGAAGTGACGTGACGCTTACTATGATACGGACCGATCCGGTGCAATTCAAAACTATAATGAACACTACACCGCACGCCCAAGATCATCCAGGTACGTGCTGTGTCGTTTCGTAACCGATGCTTTTCGTCTCGTGTCAATGGATTACCTGCTTTTCTCCGAGGCGATGGCTATGCAGTATCAATGAAATCCACAAAACTTCAAGGTGCTTTTTCCAAACTTGAATATATCATCCGACGTCCGTTTTACTCGAACCTTTACAAGTTGCTGCGTTGTTGTGTTTGATGACAAAGTGGTTGAAATATCAAGGCTTCACCAATAGCCATGAGCCGAGGCAGGCACCTAACGCATTGATTGCCTTACGGAAAAGGCCCAACTTCCTAATTTGGACATCGCGCCGATACTATCGACATGCCGTTCTAGGATTTTCCCGATATAAGAGAATCATCTATTTTGCTAAAGTTTAGCATAGTGGAGGAGCAGCATGGGGGAGCAGCATGAAGTATGTCATCGGAGACGAACCGAAAGAAGATGTAGATGCGCGATTGCATGATGTGTGTTGGAGTCGGAGAATCTTATCAAAGGAAAGATTACTGATAGAATGAATAAGCTCGGAGACGGGCTAATTTTGAGACTTCAAAGTCAGTGACTTACCAAGCAAAAGCACTTAGGCACGAGTACACGTATGCGGCCGCAATTGTTTCGAGAACCTTCATTCCAGGTTTCAAACCCCCAAAAACGAGCAAACGGAGCAATTGCGAGTCCATAAGCTTTTTCTTGTAAGGCTTTCTTTGAGGCGCGTTACATGCATTTTGGATTTGTTGACCTCGGGGCTTTGTCTCTGCACGGGTATTGTGGATCTCAAAGCTTTCGTTTCCGTGCGGACATACTACTATTAAGGTGTAATAGATCCGAGGTTTCTTCAATGGAAGGAAGTCTTTGTTCTTGTTCGTTTATTCTGAGACACGAGTCCCGTCTTGACCGATGAAAGTTTCAATGCAAGTCACAGATCGTTTACGGAAAGGGGTAGTCATCGCCGTGCTGCAAGTCGTGTTGAGAGACACAGAAACGTGCGTTTTCTTCATACAGCAAAAACTCTTTATAAGGATCCCCTTTATAAGGATATCCTATTCATAAGAATAGTTTTTTGAATCCCAAATTTTTTTTAGATATAAAAAAGACTATTATCCTTAAAACCTCTTTATAAGAATATCTTTAAAAATATAAGATCCCAAAACCCATGTATATCCTTAATGTACCAATAGAATAACTTTATTTTGAAATCATATGATCTAAAATTGTCGGAATTCTGAAGTTTTTCTTTGTGTTATGCTACACAGATTAATTTTTGTTTCATCGCCCTTGCTTGTAAGGATGATTTGTATAAACAGAATAGTTTTATTGGAGACAAAATCAAGATCATAAGATCTGATTACAAGGATACCTCTAAATATCCTTATTTTTGAAGCTTTTTCATATCCTTATACAGAGTTTTTGCTGCAATGCGAATATGCGGCATCTGGGATGTCATGGAAGGCAAATAACGTTCATGCTGACTATAAGTTCTGGCGGGGATATTTCCCCATGCGATATTTGCGGAGTTATTGCCTTCCGGGCCCGCTCCATTGTCAGGATGGAACGGTCCCTCATTTAGGGCCGTAGGATTTAAAGTACGTACCGTTCAGGAAACTTCACCGCTTGCTTCGACTCAACATGCCCCATCATTTCAGATTTTCTGAACCTTATCGTGTTTGTGTCAACCGTCGAGATCGGTTCGTACTTGCCGTCCGCCGTCCACATTACTTTTTGATCACAAATCCCATATCCTAAAGTCGAAGCATTTGCCGTTTACAGCATGAAGTTAGAACTAGAAGATCCCCCGATGCGTTTGAGTGGTTCATAAATGCCGCTGTCATGTCAAATCCTCGGGATACCCGAAATACACAGGGTCTAAAGTAAATATGACGGAAAATGGGAGCAGAGTTCAGGCCTAGTCGCAGAGGATGGGCCGATTGATACCCGAGTTGAAACCCTGTTTCGTTTGAGCATTAGAGTGGCCATCTAAATATGTGAGTATATTTGATATATTTGATATATTTGATATATTTGAAATATTTCTGTGGTTATAAGGATAGATTTCTGCACACCCATTACGCAGAAGGCAACACGCAACATGTTCGATACCTAACTCCTTTCCTCTCTTCTACCTGAGAGATCCTTAATCCCTTCAGTTCATGATGCAAGCCTACTTAGGACAGCCGGTTGATGGATAGTTACAAGTACTTGCTACTGCTCCTCCAGTAATCTTAACTCCAGAGAAAGTAATATTGTTACAACTTCCGGATCCACAGAGCACGTAGTAGTTTCTGGCGCTAGCTGCGGCTGTTCCAGTCACATTTTGGAACAAAATATTCTGGATAAGGACACCGTTTGTTGGGTTTCCTGTTGGGCCTCCGTTTAAGTAATCTTGTTGTACATCGATGCCATAGGTATCAATGTTGGTGAGCTTAATATTACTGTATGTGATGTTGGAGATGAAGCCGGTGGTTCCTTCGTTGGACTTGATGCGAGCTCCGTTGCTGGAGTTGACGATTTGACTATTTTTAAACTGGAAAATAGTGAGAAGGAAATTCGATAGCCGGTACATAGAACTTACAGTAATGTTTGTCACATTGTTATTGCTCTTTCCACCTACAGATCCGATGGAAAGACCATGGCCACCTGAGCAATACAATCCATCAATGGTAATGTTGTTCCCGCTCGTAACAGCTACGCAGTCATCCTGATTGTAAACGGATGAATTCCTGATTATCGTGTCTATGCTCGAGCTCAGATCGAATCCATCCGAATTGTGAGCTGCAGGCAAAGTACCACTGGCAGCATTCGGCACGTCTCCTGCTGTGTTGTTAAGAATCAGGTTCTGGACGGTCAGCCCAACAGCACCGGTAATAGTGAAAAGATGGACCGGCCAGTTCTGAATATATAGATTCTCGATCACGGAACCGCCAACCAATTTCGAGGCAGCGATAAAATGATTTGGCCTGGATTCATTATTAGCTTAATCATGTTTGAATTGCTGTGAAAACATACTTTGGCACATCATCGTTCGAGCCATACCCATTCCAATAAGCTTGGCCATTGCCATCAATGACTGCACCTGGCGCACCGGTGACGTGAATTCCCGAGCCCGATAATTTTATTGGGTCGAAGCTACTATCGTTGGTGAATCCAAAAGTTGTTTTCCCGGCAAAAGTGATTTTAGTACCGGCCTTGACTTTAGTCAAGTCAATACTGCTTCCTGATGGTGCATATATATTGTTCAGCACAATTGCTGTCGAGGATGCAACACAAGGAGCGATTTGGGAATACACTGAAGCAGTGCATGCTGTTTGAGCTGTGCAAACGCCTGCTAAAGTGAGGGCTAAGAGCCCTGGGATGGAAAAGTCTCTATGCATGGTGTGAGTTAATCAACAAGATGAATGAAGCTAAACATGCAGAAATCAGGAGGAGGCAAGTAATGAATAAAGTCAAACTTGCAGAATTCAGGGAGAGCATCGAGAACACTCGAGTTTATAAAGTACTGGAAGGCCAAGTATGGCAATCTTCCTAGAACCTCCTTTCCTCATGCCGAAAAGAAAACCGAATGATACATACTGATCTTCTCATGGGCGGGGATAAGTACGTACATTGTTTCTCCGCAAATTAATATTAATATAATCGCAGAAGTGTGAGCTGAGAAGACATCCGCATTTTACCAGAAAAGACACCCCATGAATACCAAAAGTTCAATAAAGTGGTGCTAGATGAAAATCTCTAGATGGGAACTTGGTCCGCAATAATGATGAATGTTCTCCAATGTTTCATCTCCCTTTCCACAACCCCAGATTTCAGCTTGGCAGCAGGTCGCCGCCCACCTAGTATTATTTGCAAGTTCGAATTTTCCACAAGTAATAAGGTCTGCCAATAAACTTTATTTGAAGTCAAATAGCTCTGGAAAATTCCTCAAATCTTCCATTTAGCATAAATCTAGAACAGATCTATCCATGACTTCTGGTTGGAGGCCCCAGATTTGTCCGCGAGGGTCATCACGTGTGTGAAAGTACGCTAGGACACTAGCGGTCCACCGTCGCTCCTGTTGAATTTTATATAAACTCTCCCAAGCCGCTAGCCAAGGTGCAGAGCTCAACACCATGTGTCCTGCTCGGCTGTTGATTGGGAGCGTGAACAAAAGGCAGCGACGGCATACAGAAGAGGGTTGTGATATGCGCCTACAGTGAGGGACCTAAACATGGTATACGTACACCTCAATGTCCTATCTCCCTCATATATATGAAAACCATTAAGTTGACTTTTTCGGAAGCCAGGATCATTAGGACGCGCTACCATGCTTATTATTTGATTCCGAATCAACTATTCGGAACGACGGAGGGTTTTTAATCGCCCGAACTGTACAAAATTCCCGACTAGCGACGACGAAGGTTTTTATGACATTGGCAGTAGATGAGAATAGAAAAGGATAAGGAGTAGGAGTCTGAAACATCTTGGCGACGGGAAGAAAGGGGAAAGAGAATATGAAATGTTGGCCAGACAAAAGGTGTCCCCGTATGAGAAATCACGTGCATCGTGCGTTATTAATAACCTCCGAGCCTCCGACACAACATCGGCGACAATAAGCCATCAAACTTTTCACTGCAATACAAACCTCGAGTCTCCAAAGTTTTGTCAAACGAAAGAATTCGCAAACTGGAAATGATTGGTTAAATTGACACGCTATACGGAGGGCACGAGAAGGGCGATTACACGAAAAAAGCAATTTCTGTCATATGCAGGGCTAGTAAAGATGCATTAAAGGAAGTCCGGATTGCAATATCATTTGTTCAGCTAGCCATGAGGATCCTTCCTTCTGCCTAAATGATGGATGTCTTACGCCCACCTTCAGGAGCTTTTTCGCAAAAATCAGTCACACGAGCCCTCTTATCATTCTGAGGTCGAATCAAAATTCATCATGGCCATCGCAAGGGTTGCTGTTTCTAGGCGAAGTCGCGTTGAATCCTTGCATGAATACTATATGCATCCTGCCCATTGTTGGAGAGCAATTACAACCAAGTTTGGGGAGCAATAGATATCATATAAGTCCCCCGCCCTTTCCTGAGCTTTTCTGGCCTTTCTGTTTTCCCAGGGCCGGCAGCTCTCTATTAAAGTTACGATGTAGCTCATGCCTTACAATTTTTGGTTCAATGATGACCGTTTCGAGGCAATGAGCTGTTCATGCAGCTACGACCAATCACATGCATCAATGACTACCGCGAAGGATTCCGAGTTAAACACGAGGTTTGATTGGCTCTAGGTCACGCTACAATGCTCTTATGGACTGAAGAGGGACTTGTTAGGGCGTGCCAAAGGGGATCAATTGAGAGAAATAGACAATGCCCGTGGAATCGCCCTGTCTAATGCCACTCACCGTGGCTCGAGCCTTTCATGGTTTGAAATGCGCTCAATCAATGATATTTTTGGCAAATGATAGAAGCTACCGGCGATTGACCGATGCGTTGTATTGAGGAAAGGTGAGGTAGGTAATGAGAGTTTTGGTGGGATAGGTAGATTGTGGAGGTCCCTAGCTTTCCGTTATCCGATCAATCTCCCACCCCTCTCAACTGTACATATATTTTCTTCACCACCATTAACCTCTACGACTCACTCATAACCAGCTTTTGGGCTATTATTAACCTGATTCTTCTTGTCGTCCAAATTATCACTTGGAATTTACTTCGTCTTCCCTCAACACCGAGAAAAGGTAGGTTTCATCACCGCTTCATTCATTTGTCAATGAATGTCGAAGACTCACGTTGCTGCCTAGTTACCTCGATGAGAATGTCGAGCTCTTTCCAAACCTCCATAGATGATCTCGCAGGCATCGTTGCATTTTCCAACAATTCAAACGAGTGGAGCTTCCGAGGGATTACCATTTCAGCAGAACAATACTCCGGCAACATAGATGCGGACCTTGCTGCACTCCCGACAGAAGACATCTCTGGCAACACGGACCCCGCGGCCGCAAAGGGCAACCAGTGTCACAAACTCGCAGATGGACCTGCACGGCAATCTTTCTTTGACCGTCGTCTATCTGCCAGCACTTGTGCCGCAACTTCGTACGTGGATGCGGAGGCATCCATGAAGCTGAACTACACCCCACCTTCTTTCGAGTCGACGTCACAATTTTCGACTTATATCCATACTCCGACCACCTCGGTTGATGAGTCCGGGGAGGAGAGCGTTTCCCTGGTCCAAGATGACTCGGTCGAGCTGCAACAACCATCTTTGTACTCTCGGCTTCCTGCCTACGCCAGTGGAATCACACCGCTAGAATCCTGGTACAATGAACATGAGCGACACGAGCTTATTGCTTACAAGTTGTCGTACCACGAAAGGGACCCAATGGCACAAAGGAGTCCAAGAAATCGGATGGTGAAGAGGATCAAAAGCGCGAGTGATAGGGCATCTAGATAAGACGAGACGAAAGATACGAATGAAGGGTGTTTGGGTTATGGTTTATTTGGGAATACCTTGTTTTATGATTTATTATTTGGATATTTGTTCAGGAGAGCTGTCGGCCTAAATGATGACAGGATTATGAATACCCATGTTACTGCTATCATTATTGCCCAGAATGGAAATAGGGAATTGTTTTGTTACTTATTGCAGGTATTTGTTCACTTCACCAAAGAAAGCGCTCCAAAATGCTGTTTTGATTAGGCAGTTAAAGGTTCTGTCTAGTTAATATGCTTGGTTACGAAATTTAAAAGTTTAGCAATCATTTTTGATCCTTGATGTCTGTCGTCTGAAGGGTTTATCATGAGATCAGAGCTTGAGCTAGATCCACCAGTTTGCATTCTTCCCCGCCTCTACTTACAGAACTACTGTTGTTGATAGAAGGGACCATCCCCGCGTTCTTGCTGACTATTAAGGTTATCGCTAGGTTACTCCGTAGTTTTCCACATTCATCTTTTTTCCGTTTGTTTTCTTCCATCTTGTCAATTTGTCGACCTGTTAATTTTTTATCTATTCTATTTATTTAAATAATATACTCCATGCTCTTTCCCCCAAGTAATGCTTTTAGGATTATCGTTCATAGAATTGAAAAGTAAATAAAACTATGTAGGTACAATTAAAGGACAATAATCAGAATATCACCATTCGAAGGCTTCCTGGAGTCGAAAATCATGGTGCCCATGATGAGCCAGCCAATCGGGAATATTTTATAGTCTATTTTGACGAGATAATCTAATAACGTATAACGTGGTTTAACACCGAGTGCACCATATCACCGAGTGCACCACTTTTACCTCAATTTGCACTTTCTAACTCATATCATTCAACAATCATTAAATCAATCAATTAAAACTATTAAGAATCTAATAATCTAGGATCTATTATACTATTTTGATAAGTTTTTAAATTATGACTAATCTTTCCACACTTACTACAACATCGATTAGTAGATGATTCCCTATTAGAATTTCCCTCATTTTGATGTTCATTATATTGAATCTGAATATCAATTTCTTGTTGAGATAATATATCTATATGTTAAAAGGAATAGAAGTTACCGGTACTAATCACGTGTCGTGATTAGTAATACGGTTACCTAAACAGGCTAGATTAGATGAACCATAAGCAGGCATATTGGTCCCCTCCGAGGATACCAAGAGGAGATCTTAAAATGCCTACACACGTAGTAATATAGCCAATATAGAGGCCTCTTCCACCCAATCTTTTAATACTATAGCTTCTTATCTAATAAGTATTCCTTCTTGATATAATTAAATCTTTTTCATATATTGATATTTGCTTAATGCCTTATTTGCCTTTTGAAGTATATAGTTTTCTGTATTTAAAAATGTATTTTCATATATCAATCTTTTTATACCTTTAATTAAAGTTAATATAATTTCGAATATAGATATAGAAGAACTTGATTGATAATAAACCATTTGAGATTTCATTAAAGTTAATTGAGAAAGAGCTTCAATTGGATTGTGAAGAGTTTGAGAGATCTAAAGATTTAAATTGAAAGAGAGAGGAGTAGACGTATGAATTCGAATATCTAATTTTGAGAGTATAGTTTGAGAATCAAATGGTATTAGACCTGTTCCTCGAAAGCCAGCTTTTATATTCTGAAAGTTGATTGATTGTTGATATATAGCTTTGAAAGCTATAAAGAATTCAACTTTAATGATATAATTGATATATGCCTTGATAAACTCCTCAATTTGAGAACTATATGAACGTTTAAGTACACCAAAACATCCAACATCAAGTGATTGAGTTAAATGACTTGAATGTGATGGTAATTTGAGGTATATAATATCATTTGATTTGCAATATGATTGAAAAGGTATTGATTCGTAACTTTCATGCTTATCCAATACTAGCATTCGATATTTGCCCTTCTTTTGACGAATAGTATGTTTATCGAAATGCTTTAACTATTCTAGGCCTGTCTCATTATTCGTCTATCCATTAGAAGTAGGTTTAATAGCCCAATCCGCAGGAAAATCGGTTTCAGTATACCAATTGGAAAGATGAACTTGTCCTTGAACTACCAAAAATGGAGGTATAATTTCACCTTCTTCATTGCCACATATAATTGCTGTAGCCCACTCTCGATTGCCTAATTGTATTGCCTTGCTTCTGCCATTTCGTTCAACATTAGTTACAACCATTCCAAGGCATATTATACCCATCATGAAGCCGGTTTCATCGAAGTTGTAGAAATCGGAATCGACAATACCATATTTCACCCGCATATTCGATACCAATCGAAACCACTCTTCAATAAGCTTGGGATCTTCGCAAAAAGCTCTTTGAAAGTCATAAACACAATTAAAACACATCTTTAATTTCGTATGATGCTTTATGAATCGATAAGCCCAGAGCTTTCCAACCTTCTTCGCCCTCCGCGATTCAAGAATATAATTCGCCATATCTTCTACACCACTTTATTTAAGTGTAAACCCTCTCTCATCTATATCAATTATATACTGAATAAGCACCTCCTCTTCTAAATCGGTTATTTTATAATTATTTGCTCGAGTTTCTGTACAAGGGGCTAAACCATTCATTCTGCGGAGAAGTGTTGTATACGTTATATTATATAGCTTGACAGCCTTTCAAATACTTAGTTTTTTATCTTTTTGAATAGCTTCAATAGCTAAGAGTATTTGAGCTTCTTTTCTATTTGATTGCATAATAAATGATTGATAAATCGCGTGTTGAAGTTGGAAAGTGCAAATTGAGGTAAAAGTGGTGCACTCGGTGATATGGTGCACTCGGTGATATGGTGCACTCGGTGATATGGTGCACTCGGTGATATGGTGCACTCGGTGATATGGTGCACTCGGTGATATGGTGCACTCGGTGATATGGTGCACTCGGTGATATGGTGCACTCGGTGTTAAACTACGTTATATACTTTTTGAGTAAAGAGCGGATGAAGTATCATGAAATCTGCCAAATTAATTCACGTATTAGCATCAAATCTCGAAAACATATCTGCATATCCTATCTTGAATAGCTTCATAATCATCTTCCATCTGCCTCGTTTTCACATCCTCAATTCAAAGCAAATCCGCGAGCACTAGCATTCCTCTAATATCGAGAGGTTTCGCTGCATTCCTAGTGAACTTTCTTTCTATCTAGATGATTACTGACTTTATTGCATAGGAGTTCCATGTAAGGTCAAAGTTTTCATTTATCTGATGATTATTTTGTCTTTAGGTGTTTGGACGGGATTCTGGCTTACGGACTTTTTTGACAGTTTAAATCACGTTCATCGTTTTTTATATATTACAGGTGTAGTATGTCATTGCTTAGACAGGTCGATTGTACGTGGCGCTTAGCTATTTTCTTGCGATATATTTTATTCTGTTTGGCCTACTAAATGACCAATATGATGACATTATACCAAGAATTTATCATAAGCGCATGGGGAAGGAACAATTCTTGAGAGAAAGACAGGGCGCTTAAAACCAACCGATATTGTTGGTATAACCTTACGGGCATTATTCAACTGATCATGTTTAGTTAATGTTGTGATTTTATGATTTAAATCACTACATTACCATATAATTGAGAAAAGTGCTTACGGAAAAAGATGGAGAGCGATCCTGAAGATGTCTGCATACCGAAGTACCCTCGAAATGTTCTTGAAAAAATGAGGTTAAATCAAAGGATGCGAGCCGCCGACCCCATGGGATTCTGTGATACGCTGTAAAATGGCCAGCATTTGGCCGTTGCTTGATGTTTGCTATGTAAGTCTTCTTGGCAACAAAGACCCGCAGGGTTTTACTTCATTTTCTTTTCTCTTTTGCTATGGCCTTTGGATATTTGTATACTGCAATGCCTTTAAAAAAATCTTTGGCGCGATATTTCAAGGTCACATGGGATTGAAATGTCTCGATTTCCACAGTCAGAATATACCATTGTCGACGAAATGGTAACCAGCAAGTGAAAAAGGCTCAGCATCATCTCTTATCACCCAAAAGGCCAAAACAAAAGTTGGATGAGGCTTTGGTCTGACCTACGACTTGGCTAAATAATTTTCCGCTCCTGTGAAGATGTTGGGATGGATAAAAAGCCACACCATGCCAAGTTGGAGCACAAGTTAGCTTCCACTCCTCTTTGCAAATATCACTCTTTTATCTTTCACAAATTTTCGTTTTTTTCTTTTCTTTACCTTGATTTTAGAGTCCAGAGTCTACTAGCCATGGCTTATTATGCAAATTGTCTCAAAGTTTCAGACGGATGTCCTGTTTCCGCGACGGCATACGGGCATGCGCCATCACTCGCTGCAAATGCTACATTATTAGCAATTTTTTGTATAATCACCCTGGCACAATTGATCCAAGGTTTCAGATACCAGACGTGGGGATTTACGGCTACATTTATACTAGGGAGTTTGTGCGAAGTGATTGGGTATGCTGGAAGGATTATCATGGCATCTAATCCATGGAGTCATGTTGGGTCAGATATTCACCATCTCGATTCGTAAGAATAGAACTAATAATCATATAGCCTCATACTTCAGAATCTTTGTCTCACAGTCGGACCCCTGTTTTTCCTCAATGGGATTTTCCTCTGCTACACGAATATAATCGAAACACACAGCTACACCCTCTCCCGCATAAACCCCACCACCTACCCCCTAATCGCCACCTCAGCAACACTCCTCCCCTTCACCCTCCTCACATCCGGTTCTCTTCTCCAAAGCACATCTGCAATCGGCTTTACCCCATTCTCCTATCTGCCCACGGGCTCTCATCTCGTCATCGCGGGTTTATGTTTCCAACTCCTCTCTATGATTTCTTTCGGTATCTTGCATGCAGATTTCAAAATCCAAGTTCGTGCTTTTCCGGAACAACTTAATGCGTATGCCGAAGAAACACGCTCTTCTCGTCGATTTATGTATTTTTCCCTTGCGTTGCCGCTGGCGTTTTTGGGAATAGGGATTAGTGTTATTTATCGGATGGTTGTTATAGGACAAGGGTGGGGAATGAGTTTTATGAGGAATGAGGTTGGGTTTGTTTGTTTAGAGGGCATGTAAGTTTTTTTAACCCTTCAGTTGCTTTTGTTTATCAGGACTAGTGATGCTGATTTGGTTGTAGAACTGTGGCGGTTGCGGGTTATGCTTTGTCGCTTGTGCATCCGGGATATGTGTTTAGACCGTTGGAGTATATTAGTAATAAGAGTGCAGAGATGATTGCTGATGAGAAGTTGGAAGAGGCTTGGAATTGATTGGGGTGAGATTATCAGTCGTACAGTTTCTTGAGAAAATCATGGGGTTCGTGATTGTGCGGTGATTTTGGAGACTCTTTTAGTAATTGTTGGGTAAAGGACTAAGGTATCTTACATCCTTTGAAAGAATGTGATGATAGTTACAAATAGAAATGGCGTTATGGAACTATTGCTTTCTCGTCGCTCATTGTTAAGGGTTAAGTAGATTACTTAATTAAATGGATGTAAGGTGTGAATGAATGGACATTTATAAATAACTACACACTAGCTTGAAGGCCACAAGACTATACCGGTGTGAGTAGGGACGTCGGTATTTCGGCAGGCTAAGGGATAGGGGGGAAGGGGGATACATAAGTGAATGGTCTCCAAGCGAGAACGGAGTGTTCATACGCCATTATGTTATCAGACGGTAGATTGATATTGACATATTCCCTGATACTATTGAAACGGCCGCAAGCGAGAATATCCTGGCTCCTTTTTCTTTCTTGATAGAAGCTGTATATTTTATACATAAATGTCTAGGTAGGAGGAGTATCTCACAATTTATATCTAACAATATTGGAAATGTATCAATCTTCCCGATTCAGAAATTAAGAACTGATAGATTATATGGTGTGTATTGCTTCAAAGATAGCTTAATTATCTGATGAAAGAGATTGATTTAGCTAGGTATAATGGAAATAATATAATAATGTTGATATGTTGGTTGGGAAGAGGAGGAAGGGAAGGATTATGAAGCACGGGCCACTAAATAGACTCTTTCCCCAGTCACGATCCGCATTACATAATACCACCATTTAGCCCTGGTGCAGATGAAGGCATCATCATCAATGAGGGAAGCCTCCAACACTGACGTCTCCATACATGAAATTCATCCATATGTTGCTGATATACAACATGTAAATTAAGATTTTAATGCTTTATTTCACATTCTGCAATCCGTCCAAGGCCACGATTCTTGATAGCACTTTCTCACGCGACATTTAAGAAATTTAAAGCGAGATATCAACGTCTTCGCAATGGCACAACCAGAAACCTTCTTATGGATTAATGAAAGTCTTCATACTCATATACCACAGCAGATTACTTCAACACAAAAGCCCCACTCAGGTTACTGTCCCAGGAAATCACATACCAAGTCCCGAAAGGGCTGTAAAAATTGCAGAAAGCGCAGAATAAAGGTGTTTAACAATTATTCCAACAATCTTATGTTTTCTGATAGAGAATTAGTGTGATGAAGCAAGGCCCAGCTGTGGTCAATGTTCAGACCGGCTACTGGGCTCACTCCAATGTGACTACTCCGTTTCGCAAATGCCAGCTGCGGAACACTCACCCCATCTACTAGCACACAATTCATTAGTTAATGTACCTAGTACATCAGCCAAAGACCAAATTATGTTCTATCTGGAAAAGTCGGACGTTTCAAGCTGGCATGTCAAAAATCCCTACTACAAACCTAGCGATGCAATCGAATTATTGAATCACTTCCTTGGTGTCACTACCCCTTGGTTCGGATCTCCGTCATTTCAGCGAATTATGCAGCATTGTGGGCTTGGGCTTTCCTTAAAAGCTCCGTACCTAATGCACACCATTCTCGCCTTTTCAGCAAGTCATCTCCATTATTTACATCCTGAAGAGAAAAAATACAGCACTGCTTCCATGTTGCATTACAACCCCTCTTTAGGTTTATTCTCATCAGAACTTCTGACAACCTTGAATGCTAGTAATGCAGATGTAATTATTGCATCATCTTACTTCCACACGATGTTGGCATTTAGAAATGTCCAACTGAATCCAGATATTGACACTGATGCTGGTGGAACACTCACTTGGCTGCATACTATGCGAGGAGTACCTATTTTATGGGACACGAACGATATGCGCTCTCATCTCGAAGGCAGTGTTTTGTTGGATGTGGAACAGGATTGTAAAGTCTTAGATGAGAGTGTTTGCGATCATGGCAAGCCATACGACGGAAGCACCTGGGCACAGCAAACTTCTAGAGCACTTCATGGGCTATTTGAAGTTGATTGCGATCCATATAGATTCAGCAACACATACCAGGGGCCCTTGAGGCGCTTATGTCACCTGATGCGACTTGAAACTGGCCAAGAAGCGGCATGCTCATTCATGTCTTTCGTGGGTGAACTTCCCACTTCGTTTGTACTGTTGTTGGAACAGAAGGACCCTAGGACTTTACTAATTTTATGTTATTGGAGCGCACTTTTTAGTCAGATCGACTACTGGTGGGTTGTCGATTCTGCGATTATTGTTTGTAAACGACTTTGCGCATACTTGGAGAGAACTACCAAACACCGACTTCATGATTTACTACGCTTTCCAGCTACCAAATGCGGTTATGCAATGAGTGAAGATCATTTGAATACTCACAAAGCAAACTCTACGACCCCTGATGGCAGTACTTTTCTATGAACAAGATATCATGCCGAAAAGCAGGGTCAATGTTTCTATAGCCCGGACTAAAATCCAACCACATGGGATTCTGTTTCTTTATATCTATTTTGTACGATGAATGAAAGTAGAATATTGAATCCACGCCGTTAATTTATCGAAACAAGCAACCGTTCTCAAAACATTCAACAATTCCCGGGCGTTTAAAAACCTCAAACCAGACTGCAGTCCAAGCTATTGACACACTGAACGCTACCTGGATTATCATCAAAAGACCTAGCAAAGAGTCACTGGAGCAGTTCATGAAGGTCTTGGACATTTTGATACGGAGTTGCTAAGCCATTGAAAATAACTATCGCTCCTAACACTAGATTCCACCTCAGCAGTCTGGCCCAAAACGAAATACAAAGAATGGCCTTTTGAAGGAAGCAAAACCTTGACATGGCCAATCAGGAAGCGAAGCAAGCAGAGATGTGTAACATAGCATGCAATCATTGAGCCCATAGAATTCACCTTGAGGTTGGAAGCTTTACATAAACCTTATCCCTGTGCGCCTTCAAGATCTCCCCAACGGCAGTGGAGTACGAGTGCTGGATAACTCTCATTGCCGGTCTTAACTATTAATGTTCGGCAATTCAACGCATAAAATAAACCACGCGAATCTATTCTTTGGGTTCTCTTTAAAAACACAAACTTTGTCATCGTGGGGATATAGAAGTAAGCCAAAGTCGTTGGATAAGGGGTTCAACTCCATAAATATCTTAGCAGAGCTGTTTTTATTGCTCTTGAGATCTCCTCTGTTTCCATGAGAATTACAGTCTTTTGTTTTAGAGCTCCAATGATATCCAAATCTAGAGCAATTAGTGCTACAATTTCTTAGTATCCTCCATTACAGTCATCCGAGCTGTTCACTGCATGTGCCATGATAGAGAAAATAAGCTTGAGCAGCATTTACAAACCAAAGAAGGGAGCACATACCAATTCTATGAATCAGCAATCAACGTGATATTTTCCACTTCTATAATATAAAGTGTTATTTTCCGGAGTTCAATCAATGAGAGTGGTAAAGAGTGCAGTGATGTAATAATAAATCATCTCAATACCACCAAGGGCAGGGATCGTTGATGTAAGATCCTGATCTACCATAGGCATGCCAAGAACACGAGTGGACTAATCGAATACGTTCTACATTTGGCTTAGCGTATATACGAAGTTGAGCCTAAGCCATATACAGAACGTATTCGCTTCCTCTTGCTTTGATGGCACATGCAAAATCAGGAGGAAGAGGAAGATGCATTGTCTTGACGTACGACATGCTTCGGTCTTCGCGTTTCGCTTTCTGTTGATTGATTGATTGGTTTATTTGTAATTCTTGGCTTAAATATGAGTTCATTGCGGATAAGGTTATGGTTGCTAGCAACAACTCACTAGTGAAGTAGCTTATTTGGCTGCTGAAGTTTAAAAGCTTGGGATTCCCTTGACTACTGGCTGGAATTTATATCGTCTTTCACCACTTGATTCACTTCTTATATCTATCCCTCTCTATACATTCCGTGTCAGTTTTAACATCTAAACATCTCTGAATCTCTTCAATACGAAAGCTTTTACTTTATCCAAAACACTACGTCATAATGTCAAGCCGGAGCTTCGTCGCCATTGCAGGCGCAACAGGCAATCTAGGCTCTCAGATTGCCCTTGATCTACGCAAGAGAAATGTAGCAGTCAAAGCCCTTGTGCGTCCCGGTACGGCAGCATCCCGTACCCAAAATTTACAAGATGCCGGTGTCGTAATAGCAGAAGTCAACATGAATGATGTTCCAGCCATCACAGAAGCTATCACAGGTGCTACGACAGTCGTTTCGTCACTTCAGGGTCTTCGGGACGTTATACTGAATGTTCAACGAAGACTTCTCGAAGCTTCTGTCGCTGCGAAAGTACAGCGATTCATCCCATCCGATTACGCATTGGATTTTACGAAGTGCGAGCCAGGCACCAACCGAAATTTAGATTTGCGTCGCGAATTTCATGCTAAACTTGATGCGTCCGGTATTCAATGGACGACCATACTGAATGGTGCTTTCATGGAACTTCTGACGACCGGTCAACTGCCGGTTATCAACGATAGATGGCACCGTATTATGTATTTCGGTAGTGCAGATCAGAAGCTCGATTACACACTTATTCCAGATGTAGCTGCTTACACGGCTGCTGTGGCTGCGGATCCAAACCCAACACCCAAGTTCCTACGTATCGCAGGAAGCTCCGTCAGTGCGAAGGATTTGGCCGAAATTGTAACGAAAGTACGTGGTGAGCAGTATACACCGATGTGGATAGGCAGCGTTGGATTCCTTCGGACGTTTATCTGGATCCTGAAATTTGTGATCGGAGGCGTGGAGGATAAGTTATTTCCTCCTTGGCAGGGAATGCAATATTTGGAAAATATGGTCTCTGGAAAAGGCAAGCTGTATCCTCTTGATAATGATAGGTATCCTGATGTGGAGTTTATGACGATGGAGAAAGCTCTCGCAGAAGCAGATGCTGAAAAGAAGCAGAAGAAGTCCGTTTGAATGAAGGGAATGAGATAGGAAACGGGTTTTCCTGTACGCATGATATGTGAGCATCGGAGTTCGGTTGGTGGCTTTTGATATCGATTTATTGGTCTCCTTTAGTAACAAAATGAGAACACAGAATTAACTTTGCTAAATCGTCAATTGCATAAGTGTGTGACAGATACTTCGAGATAGCACCCTTCTGTTGTGTGGATATATGCCACAGTTCTTTAGACTTCTGTGAGCATCAGAATACCCATAGAAGTGTCCAGTCTTCAGAGCTAACATACGAATATTCTAAAACAACTATTCTCTTCTCATCTAGTATTTGGAGGATGTCTGTATGTTATTTCGCATTGATCTGGCTTCAAAATAAGGGATTCTTCATAATTCCAAATATGCATAGAAAAATTGTAGAAGATTGTGAGACTGAAAATCATTAGATACTGCAAGTGTTTGTGTTTGTTGTTTGGCTGATAACCTTACGCTTTCTGAGATTGGAGCTATGACCACTCACTAATAAGTTGCACCACCACACTAGTCACACTTATTTAATCTAGACTCCGACAGCCCGACATCTCATGAATATTCCCATCGTAACTCTGGATCATTCCATGTAACTTCAATGAATGCTTTTTACTTGGTCTCTGTGCGCGGTCTCTATTTTATCCCATGCTAACATGACACAATATCTGGTATTCAAGCCCATAGCGAAAACCACAGAAGAACTTATTCGTTGATATTTATGGTTAATCTATCTAAAGACGAGAGAAATTCCCATGGCATTCCACATAATAGAACCTAGAAAGAAGACAACTTCTAGAAGATATGAAATATCAGATTACGATAGTTAAACTATATACCCGATGATTCCTTATCTCGCTATTCCAGCACAATATTTGCATACAGACATAGGATTTCTAGGAACCGTTGGAAACGAGATGAAGACTACGAGGGGAAAACTCTAGTTTCATCGATTCATCCAGAGATATGTATATATAAGATACGATCCGGCAGCTTTGCGAAAAGTTTTTGATGGAAAAGTCTTCACATCCCACGCATCTATCGTAATAGGCTCAAATTACGCGGATCAATTACCACGGTTTTACATACGAGATGAAGATTGGTATTCTTGTGAAGATGGTGTCAGCAGCACTGCTCATGGCTCATTCTATCGCTTCCAAGGCTAGTTCTAAGGCTACTACCACTACCAGTGCTAGTGTCACTGCCACTGCGTCTGCCGCTGCCGGCAGCGAAGCCCGAAGCGGTCTACACAGGCATGGGAAAACACTATATATTTGTGGCGGTTTTCTCAATCACGAAGACATATCATTAGCTTTGGAAGGTCTTTCATCCCTCTTCGGACCCGACAGAAAGTCGCTGTCGCAATTTCCTAGCGGTAGACACCTCGATAAAGTGGTATATACTCACAACACGGCTCAAGCATATGTCTGTAGCCGGAATTACGGAAAGTTTGCTAATATCGGGTCGGAGGATATCGTTGAAAACGTGAACGGGATCAGAAAGGAATGTGGGGGTGTTCTTTCCTCTACTGGGGAGCTCTGGTTCCAGACCTCGATTATTGTATTGGTTTTGGTAGAATTAATGAGGCGACTTGCGAGCCCAAGAATCTCCGAAAAACATGGGGTAGCATGGTTGGTTTGGTGTGATCTACGGCTTCCTTGGTATCCTCTTATCTCGAGCTGTCATATTGATCAAAATGTGGAGGTTTATCATTTCTTCGAACAATGAAATCATATTTTCATTCTCGTGTGCTGCCATTCCTATATGTTATCCTTTTTCCAAATGGTGCAACTTTGATTTTGGTCCTGATGCAATTTTGCATGGTGCCTGTAGAAGAAGGGTGACGTTAATTACTGTTTTCAATGCTCGTACAAGAGCATAATTTCGAAGAGGGGCCGTGAAGGGACGAGATGTGCTAGTGTACACTCTATGCTTGATAATTCAGTGTGTTTCACGAATCCACTTCTGCAGTATTCATCCAAACATAGAATTGGTAGAAGGTGAATCAGTCCAGACGGAAATGAATAGTTTTTCCTGCCACTTTCATCCTTTCATTTAAGAAATCATCTCGGTAGGAAGAGAAATACTGTACGACTGAAAAAACGTCTAAAGTAGTCATATAGTTTCCTTCCATCTGAACATTAATTGATCTTCATCTCATTGACCCAAAACTCCTAGTTGCATAGCGCAAAGACCTAGTAACTTGTCATCTCATTCTCCTTGTCGTTTCATTATATACAGCCTAGGTAGGTACTTAGAAAAAGCCTTTTCGATTGCATATCCCAAAGACCTAATGATTTATCATCTGATAAGGTTATTTATTTGATCTTTCCTCGCGGCGCTCACTTTCACTTCTATGCTAGTGGCCGGAAACTTTTAGCTGTATATCGCTAAGGGCTAAACTACTTTTTGACTTTTCATCTAATCCGAGCTATTCATTCTATTTGCATTCATTCACTTCATCGCTTGATCAGTTTAGTTTTTACCTTTTTAGTTGCGCGTTGTAAACACTTAATTAATGGTTTCTTGTGTGAATGTAAAAGTTAGATGGATGATACGATCATCAGCGTAAACTCCGTGATCGATGCTGTTGAATCTCAGTCAGATAATTTTCATTTTGTATACATGTGCATGTCCATAAATTGAATAATTCAAAAATAATTATTCATAGAGCTACAACTACATTTGGTTTATATACAACAACTGCTCTATTTATTCCTTAGTTTCTTATCCTCTTCATCTACTCCATCCCATCCATCCATACCCTACTCCCGCCCCCCGCCCCCCCTCAAAATTAAACCCCACCAACCTCCAACTTCGCAGCATCCTCCGCTTGATTTTCCTCCTTCTCACATAACAACCACGCGACTCTCATCTGGTTGAACTCACATCTATTCATACATTCATCGAGTCTTTTCCATAATTCTTCTCCTACAACTTTACCTCCTTTTGAGTTGTGGAAATCATTGCGTTTCCATTTGAACTGTGATTTTTTGTGTTAGTTTTGGATTTGTTTGAGGAGGGGTTGTTTGATGGTTTGGTTTGATTTGGTTTTAGGGGGTGAGGAGTTAGGAGTAAGGTTTGGTATATGGTTTTCGAACAACTTGAGAGAGTTGACAGGATAGTAAATCTCCCTTCATTGTTCTCGTTCCAAACCCCAAACTTCAACCTCCAAGCCAAAGAAAATGAAAATAAAAATAAACCTACAATATGCTCCGTAATCCCATACCACAAATTCGTACTACTCGTAACAGCCACCACCAACCCCCCCGAAGCAATCTCCCCACCCACATCCTCAAACCCCGGAACCCTCATCTTACACTTATCCTCCACCAACTCCAACGCCTCACACGCAGCAGCCAACTCGGCAATCTTCTGCATTTCAATCTTACTCCCGGACTCCTGAATCTTACCCGTAGAATTATACTTCGACCCAGGACCAAAATGCACCGAATACGCCGCCTTAAACAGAGACTCATCACCCCCACCATCCACAGAAGCAACCGCACCCGCTACACTAAAAACCAACGTCCGAGGATGCCCAACAAAATACCCCTCTTTCAACATTTTCAAGCGGGAAATTTGTAATTCCTGCGCGGGCTCATAGAAAAATAGACGGGGAATTACTCGGTTTTCATGAATGTATAATTCCGTGTCGTTGACGAAGTCGAATTTTCGTGGATGCAGAATCGGATTGTCGTCGGCGGGGAGAGGGGCTATAGAGCGATCCGTGGTGGCGGGTGTGCTTACGGTGTAGTTTGTGCTTGATATAGAGGGTTTGGAGGCGTGACGGTGTTGGAATACGTTGGGTACGGTTGGTTGGTCGGACATTGTGTTGCACGTGGATGTTGAGCCTCTGGAGGGGTATTTTGAAGTTTAGGATAGGGGTTGGGGTTGCTGGACTTGGCTTTTTTTGGTGGTAGCCGGATTGGGAATTTGGGTTGTATTTGAATTGGGATTATGTTTGTATTGAGAGATAATAATAATATGTTCAAGAAATGAATTAGATCTACAAAAAAATTAAGAAAAATTGAAATTGAAATGTTGAGCAAGTTGCTGATAATAAATGAAGAATAGACGATTTATGATCTACGTACCCGTCGGCCACGTTTGAAGCTAAACTTCTTTGGTACTAGCATTATGCCACATGTACTTCCTAGCCACAACAATTAATTCTCTAGTAACTGCACTTCAAACTCTACAAAGCGAGAATAACAAAAGAGACGGGAAGAGGGAAGAATTTAAAACGCTGAATATATCATATATCATAATTGTTAATTATATAGAATATATGCAGTAAATCAATCATCTAGATCAATGCAAAATTTTAACCATATAACCTTACCATCCATCCATCCATACATGCAATTATATCCCATGCCAATGCTATGCCATACCGACCGCCAAATCATATCATAAATCATTACCTCATTCCAATTTCCAACCGAATTCCGTTTCCATCCCCATCTAAATTCTAAAAACTAAAATCTAAACAATCCTCTTCTCTAAAAGCAATCTTCCTACAGGTCCCTCCTTCCTAACAACCATTCCATTCATCTCCCCAATTCCTCTCTCATAAACCTTGGCTCCTCTAACCCACGTTTCCTTAACCCTTCCCTTCATAGTCTTCCCTGTGTATGGACTAACTTTATTTCTAAAAAGCAATTCTTCTCTGCCTACAACCCATTCATGATCATCTTCAAAAATACAAATATCCGCATCTAAACCTGGTCTTAATGCACCTTTACGATGTTGAAGTCCAACTTGTTTAGCTGTGTTCACTGCGCAAAGTTTTACGATGTCGACGATACCGAGAGTAGAGGGAGAGGAAGCGCGGGATGGAGATGTCGCTTCAGTCCAGAGGATTGGGAGGCCAAGACCAACTGAAGAGATACCACCCCAGGAGGCGAAGAAATCACCCTTTTCTTTGGCTTCTTGATCTTTTAGTAAAGTGCCGTTTACGGCTTTAGCGTCATCGCGCATGGCGCCACAACCGTGGGATAGATGTTCGGGGAGAAGTTTGAGTTCTGGGGTGCAAGGGCTGTGATCGCTGACGATGGTTTTGATGACGGATTCAGGGTGTGATAATTCGGCCCAGAGACCATCTCGATTAGCGGATGAGCGGATTGGTGGACAACATTTATGGCGGGTATCACCCTCGGGAACGTCTTCGGATGCGAGAGCAAGATAGTGGAAACAGGTTTCGGCGGTGATGTTTATCCCAGAGGAGCGAGCGGCGCGGAGAAGTGGGATGGCTTCGATGGCAGAAAGATGGACAATGTGGAGATGAAGTGAGGGAGCGAGGTGAGCAAGAGAAATGATTTCATCGACAGCGTAGGTTTCAAAAGAGGGAGGGCGGGATGATAGGAATGTGTCGTATGTTGTTAGGGGTCCGGATGGCTGGAGAGGTGGGAGGGATACTTGGACGTCATCACCAACAGAGGCTGTTATTGGTGGAATCATTTCTGCGTGGAACATGAGAGTTGTGGAAGTATCTTTAAGGGTCTTGAGTGCGAGGGCTACATCGGAGGAAGAGACGGCAGGGAATTCGTCAACCTATCATTATTGTTAGTCAACGCAGCTATGATTGGTGAAGATATACATACACCACTTTCTATAAGGAAACCCTTAAAACCTCTGACTCCTGCTTCAACAAGCGGAAGCAACTCCTCGGCATTACCAGGTATGATCCCACCATAAAACCCAACATCAACCCAGCATTGACCTTGGGCAGCCTTAATCTTTTCTTGCAATCCATTCAACGTTGTAGTTGGTGGAATAGCATTCAAAGGCATATCAATGACGGTTGTGACACCACCTGATGCGGCAGCTTTCGTTCCAGTATTGAAACCCTCCCATTCTGTTCGACCCGGCTCATTAAGATGTACATGTGCGTCAACTAACCCCGGAAGGATCAAATGAGGGGTGTGGTCGACATAAATTGTGTTTGCTGGAAAGCTGGAGGGAGGGAGAACGGTAGGTAAGATTGATATGATCTTGCCAGTGGAAGGTGAAATTGTGATGGTTGCAGGCGAGATAGTAAGATTGTCTTTCCCATCAAAGATGGCTGCTCTAGAGGAAACAAGGACGGTGGTTTGCAATGGGGAATCGAGAGGTGGTGTGGCAGCAGGAGTTGGATATGGATATGCTGTAGTCATTTTGAAGATCTTTTTGATGTAGTATTGAAAATCGAGGGGTAATGAATGATCTAAAGAACGAATCGAAGTTGTTTTGGGATGTAATTCAGAAGACTATCCACTTGAATACTCTTATCGTGGGGGATAAGAGGTGGGATAGATAAGAAAGTAAGAAAGCTTTGAAGGGTAGAGTCTGAGACCTGATAAGGAAAATGAAGGGGGAATTTCTTTGTCCAAGTGAATATAGAAAGTTGAGGAAGTATCTTTCAAATCTGGGGAAAGGGAAGCTGAAGATAAAAAGGAATTTGATGCACGGAAATGAAAAGAGTCCAACCGCGATAGGCTTACCGTATTGTGGAGTGCATTTATTCATATTCACATTCACCGAATGCCATGGTGCAGGGTGGTGGTGGCATAGTCCGAAGATGTAAATATTCCCACCAAAAAATCGTTATCACCATCGTGAAGTCGTTATCTTTCCTTCCAACTACCCAATCGAGTCGATTGCCAGTCACAGTCATCAGCATCCAATCCCGGTCCAACACGGGAAAAGGCGATCGAGGTCCATAAATAAAAGGTTTTTCATGTGCCTGGTGTGAGGAACAAGGGTCTTGAAGCATGCCTTGGACCCTTAAAAAATAACCTATGATGTGTTTTGATCGAGTAAGTATTCCTTCTAGCGATTCCAAAATTTCCTAGTAAGGAAGGCTAGAAGGGATGAGCATTGAGCATTGAGCCATTTGTGTGTGTTGAGTCAGTTTTGACCTTCTACATTTATGGGACCTGACCTGGTGGACAGATCAAAGAAGGGAGAGGGTCTTTTTTCTTTTTCGGGACATGTCGGTATATTCAGAAGCTGTGGAGCTTGTCAACATGAACACCGCATTGAAAGTACATCATGATTGCTTTCCTCATCCAACAATTGGAAGATAGGATATCAATCATCTGTGTTGTATGACAATGAAATCGGTAAGCCACAATCAATGAATAACTTCATGTGTAATCATGTTGTTCATTCTGTTGATTATGTTGATTATTGTTGTTCTACTCTCAGCCTTGAGCCTTTGATGTTGCATGGTTGTCTATCTTAGTGTCGTACGGCCAAGGCGAGTCCCGATGTCGGGTCGGAATTAAGTTTAGCCTATCGCTAGTTCCACTAGATTCTAGATTAGCTAATAACCTCATGATTTTCCGTCGGAGAACAAAGCAATTTCTTACTAGATCATTATTCGATAATTACTCGATAAATTACTCGATAATTACTCGATGAAAACTCATGAGTAAGGAGAAGTCCAACACATATGCACATGTGGCTTTGAAATTCATATATGTCGCACGAATCATTGGTCCAACAACATGTTGTGCATGCCTTCAAGTATTGCCTTGCGGACAGTGATGACAAACATTTATGTCCATCGCAGAATTGGTCGTCGCTTGTACCGAGAGGGTGGAAAGCATCGGGACACAGCTTCTGAAATCAATCATCATGGACTCAGAAATGATTATCCCACGTGTGTTATTCTCCTATGATACCAATTAGCATGAGGAATTAAGGACTCTAAGAGTACAACATATTTCCGCTAACTACAGCGAGCCAATGATGATGAACAACACAAAACAAACGACAGTCAAAGCAAAACATCGCAAAATACTAACCAAGGGAAAATCGATTGAAATGAAGGTTCAACAGTTGGTCGATGAAATATGAAATATTCTTGTGGGTGAGATGGAGAAGTCGCAATATATTACATCAATCACGTATAATGGTTGAGGTAACTGCGAAATCAAGTGCTCCTGCCGCATGATCTTAGCATAAGCAACCAAACTAACAAAACTCGTAATCCGTTACATCATAGAAATCAAGGGCCTCTAACTTTTCCACTCAATTTGTCAATGTTTTCATTATGTGCGATTTCAAATCTATTGTTGGCCTTTTCCAATCATGTTTGGTTCCTCGTCGTCGTCGAACAACAACCACCCTCAAGCTTGATCAAATATCAATTACCGAGATTTTGCAAGGTTTGAAGAATGGTCATTTTTCAAGCGAAGAACTTGTTAGAGTTGGTTGATGGCCATGCGGCTTCATTTTCACTTGACTAACGACGATAAAGACTTACATTAAGCGTATCGAACAAGTGAATTTGATTGTCCATGCCGTTAGTGAGGTTAATCGTAACGCTATCGAAATTGCTAGGGAAAAAGATGAAGAACGGTCCCGCGGCTCGGCCCGAGGAAGTCTTCATGGAGTACCGATCCTAATTAAGAATCTATTTTTCACCACTGACGGCCTCAAAACCACCTGTAGGTTTTTTTTCTCCTCCTTTTTTCTTTTTGATTGAGCCCATTCTCATTCTATCTCATGAAGTTGGCTGCACGGGATTTCTTGAAGCCATTCCAAGTATCGAAGCAACGACAGTCATCAAGCTTCGTGAGGAAGGGGCAATTATTCTTGGAATAGCAAATGGTTCTCAATGGGCAAATAACCGATGTACTCCTGGTTGGTCTGCCGTCGGAGGTCAGTGTTTGGGTATCTATTTTAAAGATCAACATCCTAAAGGTTCATCATCTGGCAGTGCTGTTGGAACTGCTTTAGGACTTTGTGCTGCTGCTTTGGGTTCTGAGGTTCGTCGTTGCTCAATGTCTACGGATTACGTGGACTAAATTTTATCGGTATAGACTTCTGGTAGTGTGATATTACCTGCCCAGAGATCCGCCATAGTGGGAATCAAACCTACAGTAGGGATGACTTCGAGATATGGAATGTATCTTGCAAGTGATAGTCAGGATACTGTAGGGGTATTAGCAAGAAGTGTGAAAGATGCTGCACTTATATTGACTGTGATTGCAGGTAAGTCTTTTAAATACATTCAAAATACTGCAACTAAGATCTGAGAGGCGAGGATCAAAAGGATCCCATCACAATTTCGGACCCTAGAGATTCAATATCCTGCAGGAAATCATATGGAACTCCTGATTTTACAAAGGCATGCAACTCTCGAAGGCTAGATGGCGTGCGGGTAGCGGTAAGAAGTTTTCAAAAATATCACCAAATTATGGTGTTAACGCTACAACTAGATACCTCGTCATATGCTCAAAAACCTTGATCCCACCACTATCCACCTCTTCACAAACGCGATCAACACACTCAAAACCCTAGGAGCAATCATAGTAGATCCAGTTTCATACTCCAAATTTAATCCCGATAGATCTTCATGTACCGGTGACGAGTATGATCTCGCATTGCAAGTTGATATATATCACAGTAAATCATCATTCCCTATATCCTGCATACCTACCACCTAACCATCACCACAGACATGCAAAAATCCCTCTCCCATTTCTCCACCAACCCACATTCTCTCTCCATCCTCTCGGATATAATCTCCTATACAATCACTACACCCGCCGAAGAAGCCTCTACGCGCGGTTACGCATTCCTAGAATCGTGTCTCCAAGCTGGAAAATCTTATTCTCATAATAGCGATGAATATATAAATTCTAAAGCAGAAAGAGAATACATGGGTAGACAAATATCAAAATTACTAGATAAGTTCGAGTGTGATATGATTCTCCTCCCTACATGCGTAGCTGTCGAACCGGCGGATGTGGGTGGTAATCCTGTGGTGAGTGTACCGATGGGTTATTATCCCGCTGGAACGGAGGTCACGATTCAAAATGGGATGGTGGATTTTGGGCCGGGGATTCCGTGAGTTTTTTTTTGAGTTTTTTTTTTTTTGGTTTTTTGTGGTTTTGATTTTGGTTCTAGGGAGGAGATGTGATGTGATGCGATGTAATGGTAAAATTCTGAGATAAATTAACTAATTATTTTGATGGTAGAGTCGCAGTATCGTTCATAGGAAAAAGATGGGATGATGAAAAATTAATCGTCGCGGCAAATGCGTATGAAAATGCTACGCTGTGGAGGGAAAAGGGAAAGATGCTCGTAGAATGTAATGTTGAGTTGTCTATTGCTATTCCTATATAGGATTTGTACGGAAAAGAGAGAATGATGAGGTTTATGGGTAGAGGTAATGTATTTCTCCAAGTTCTCGTATAATTATAATTCCAATATTTAAAGTTTTTAAATCCCTATATTATAAATTATTTAGATTTTTATTTTTATTTTCCAAATCAGCGATGGAATACTTACTCGAGTATTATGTGATAGGATATGTAATTATAATTTTCTGTTTAGGCATTTATATGTAAGTCTTACTTTTGTCAATCGAGCTCGCTGCAATTAAATAGTTCATAGAAGGGAAAGAATTAGATATTGGCATTTAACACTGTAGCTAATACGGAACTTGGATTACATGGTAGTTGAGAAATGGGAGGAATTATAAGAGAAGATCCTCAAATCTACCGAGTGGGCATGCATGGCACAGCACAAGAGACACGGAACCATCTAATCTAATTCTAGTTAGATGAATCAAAATCTATAGAGTTTGAATATTAGTTATGCTGGATTATACAGTTATTGAATTTAGACCCATTATTGAATGGTGGATGTGTTGGAGATTTTCAGATACGATCTATTGCAAATAGACCTATAAAAGAGCTACGGGCGAAGCTTCTCGGGTCGAACTAATACATCATGCCTTCATATCACGAAAGAGCTTTTTGGAAAAACAGTTGTCATTAAAGCTATCTAGTTGATCAAAAGATTTCGTTTGCCAACTTTGTTGCCAACTTGTTCTTCACAGCAAGTAAAAGTTAGCTAGCTTGACAGGTGAATAAGAACAATGCAATGGATTCTGATGGACCATTGTGATTGTTTATTCCAGTATCTACATCAAAACTATAAGTTTATATCTTTGTACGGTAGCTCCAAGGCTAGTAATCTTACTTCATTGCTCAAAAGCATCGAGAACTTAAAGAAAGTAATAGAACGATCAAAGATTGGTGGTTACTTGGTCGTTCAAGTCCAAAGTCTGCCGTAAAGGGGCATATATACAGTGGGTAGATATACACTATTCCAAATACAGATGACTGGTATCATATCCTGCCTTGAAAGGGGGCCATAGTGCCTGAATCGAGATCTAAACATCCAAGTTGTGTAAAACCTCAGAATCTAGAGGCTTAACTTAAAGAAAATCCTGAATCTAAAGACTGGACTACTGTATGAAGCACCGTATAAAAAAAATTTTATATACCGCGAGGATAACGACACAATCCAAGGTTTTGGTACTGTCCCCAAACCGCACATAAATAAATGAGGACACCGTATAGACTTCAAATCAATACTCAAGTACTTGAGGTCTCCACGAAAAATCATCCTTTTCCCTCTTCCATACACAAAGCTTTCTAATAGTCGCAACCAATCCATTACAGAAAGTGTCGCACTTCTATTAAGAAAACAGAAAAACACCACTTCTATTCAGATTACTCTACTTTTTGTAGAATTATCTACTATTGTTTTTCACACGCAAATCTAACTTCACACATCTTATTTGCTCTATCCATATTCCAAGTCACAATGTCTCCTCCTCATGCTTCCATATCTCAGGAAGACAAGGAAAAAGACAAGGCACCCAAAGGCAGCGGCCGTGGCGTTGGAGGCAAGCTTGCTGGCAAGATGGGCAAGATCTTTAAATGGAAGCCAACAATAACAGAGCCAAAGGTATGGATTTCTAATATTGGATGAAAGATCTGACGTGCTAAGGCCAACCACCACTTGTAGGTACCGGCAAAGGGCAAGAAAGCATCCTCGTTCGCTAAACTTCTAGCACCATCTCCCCTTATCCCAAGAGAACTTTCATCGACCATCTCCAAAGATCAAATAATCGGTGGAGAGTCTGATCAGAGAAAAACACGAGGAAAAATTACATCAGCTGCTAAGACAACTGTTGTAAATTCCCAAGCAGCACTAAGCTTTGCCACTGACTCTAACGCCCTGAAGAGACAAGCACCTTTAACTTCGGCCAAGGCTATACCACAGAGCAACAATGGTAACAAATTTGTAAGTCTTGTCTTTCTTCATAACAAATAATTAACGAAAACTAAATACTGATAAACCATCTCTAGACACAAGCTTCAATACCAAAACCACGCACTGGTAATCCCTTTAGCTCAAAGAAATGGGACTACAACAACTCCCACCCACCAGGCAAGAGTTCTGGTGCCCTGTCAAAGGCTACTGAATTCTTTGATAGGATGGAACCTACATTATGGGACAAAGCATGGGATTTACAGGTGGCAGATGAGGGACATCAAGCAGACTCTGCGAATGTCACTTCAACCGGAAAAGAGCAACAAGAGGATTCGCACATTCCAAGACGCGAGGGTGCTAGTAGTCCTCGCCCACTCACCGCTGCAGATTTAGCATCCTTGGCTGCTGAAAAGGCTAAATTCAAGGATGAGGAATTAGAAGCAAAGCGCCAATATATTAATGAACACCCAGGAGGTGTTTGGGACCATCAAGATTATGAGGTCTATCCTGAGCGGAAAGTAGTAGCTGCTCGTACTGCGGTCAATGGTAGATTAGCAGATTCTGGGGATGAAGAAGTATCCGAATCGGAAGATGCTTCGAGCGATGAGGAGATCCCAGCCGTGGTTCCTGCTGCTCAGCCGGCTAAGACTTCACGTCCACGTTTGGTTGGGAAGGCTAGGAAACTTGAGAAGGGAAAAGGAAAAGTGGGTCCATAGTCTTTCTATTTAGTAATTATTAATAGATCAAATGCTAATTAATATTCTCTACCAGGCTCTTGACGAAGATGAAGAAGTTCAGACTAGCGATAGTAACGTCGACTTCAATCACCAGGTGCCAGCTGCCGATGATGGAACAGGTCATCCCATTGTAGCTTCAGGAAGTGATGCCAGAAGCGTAAGTCCTCCTTTTTACATGTTTGATTTCAATTGAATGACCTTTTGAATTTTACATCACCATGCTAACTTGTCACAAGGAGATCCTCTCTGGCCCACCGTGTCCTATTGAGAAAGAGGTTAAGAAAATACCCACTGGTCATAAGGCTGTGTTTGGAGGAGCACACCAGCGCGAGAACTTTCCAGCCGGAACTCCGCAGCCAAGTGCTCTAAATATTGTGATTCGCAGTGAGAAGCGAGATCCAAACGACCCAAAGGTGGTAATTGCGCGAGCCAAGATTACCCATCAATTTACCGACAAGGTAGATTGGAACGATAAAGAATCCGTCAGAAAGCTCAACAAGTGGCGTGGACAAATCTTTGAACGAGCTTTCGGATCAAAGTTTCCGAGGAGATGGAAGTACACCTATGGTGAGATGAACGCCCTGTGCGATATTCTAGAAGCACATCTTGCTACATCAGAAGTGGGTGGTCTGATGACGAATGTTGATTGGAAGTCGGTAACAAGTCGATACAACCATCACTTTGAAGGCGTCAAACAGTGCGCCGGAGAGCCCTATGCCATTACTAGTCATACTTGTGATGATGAGGAGAAAAGATCCGACCCTAAGGATAAGTTGAAGGAGAGTCGCCAAGCACCTGTTAGATCTTTGATAGGCTTGAGAAATCAATTACATCACTTTAAAGACCAGCGAGTGATCGACCTCGTAAAAGGCGCGAAGGGTATTAAACAAGAGGTTGAGCCAGTGGCCGATGTCGAAAACAAGCAGATAGCTAGTCCTAGCGAGGGATCGTCTTCTGATACTGGGAGAAAGATCAAGAAGCTCATTCTCAAGATTGGAGACCGTCGCGTAATCCTCGGCGGTAAGAGAAACGGCAGTGAGGACTTTGCAGATAATGAGGATAGTCCACTAACTAAAAAGGCAAAGTTGGATGGTCCTATCAGCCTCCGTGGTGGCGATGGTAACATTTTGGGTGGCCATGATACAAATAAATCAGATGAATCTATGACTGGAACTGATCATCAAGGTTGTGAGTTCTCTCCTAGCTCACCACTCCGCCAAGTTCTGGATAATGCAAGTTCGGCTACCCACGCTGCTCAGGCTATGGTGAACACCAAATACCTTTTCGATCATAATGAAACTGCAAATAGTGCCAGTCCTCATTCGATCGTAGAACAGCATGTTTCTATCTCTAAGAACAAGAAGAGATCGATGGAGGTTGATGGGAACAATGGAAGTGATTGCGATGACGAAGGAAACTCATCGCCAAAGAACACCAAGATTGATAGAAGCCTTCCTCGGGATCCCCGGCTTCCGCCTGTCAACGCACAGGGTCGTCACCTCCTTCCCAACCCACCAATTCGCGCCGTTTTATATCCAGAACCGTTGAAATCAAAGCACAAGAAGAGACCGAGGGACGATGACCAAGTTGATGATAGCGACAGCCAAAGCGGGCAATCAGCAAAAAAGCTCAAGGTACAGACTAGTGCACAAGGCCCCAACCTATTTCCTGAGGCCCCAAATCAACCAGCTTGGGACGTGGTGAACTCATTACCTCGTCCTCGCACAGCAGCAAGAACTCGAGCAAAAACTACCAAGAAGGGTATTCAGACCACCGCTCGTCTTCCAACCCTAGACGACTATTTCCAGGATTAGTAGTTGGATCTGGTGTGATTGGTAATGAAACGATTTTCTTTCATAATACAACATTCAGCAAAGACGCGTTGACAGCAAAAAGTTTTTCATTTGGTTCGGTTTGTTGTCAAAGCGGTCTGAGACGCGTGACAAGCTAATGGGTGGAATATTGGTATGGTGTCTCTTTAGTACAATTATTAATACATATTTAGTGTTAAATATTAATACATGAATTTTAAACTTTAAAATGTAAATTACTGATTCAAGATCCTTTTCTTGTAGAGCGAAAATTTTAAAATTTGTTTTTGATTTTATTTGAGAGTAGTTTCTATAACTACTTACAAGTTTAAGTGTGACCAAAAGGGTGTTTATAGACCAGCAATTGTATTTAACTTAGAATCTACAGGTGAAGAGCACCTGTAGATGGGGATAGCTACTCTATATATACACAAATGAATGGCCTAGCCGCAATGGCTAGGCAAAAAGAAGTCATATTTATTCCTCCAATGATCTTACTTTACCGATAACCATTGATACCTAGTACTTGTCCGGATCTGATCCTCAGGTCACCTAAATCGCATACTAATCTCGAGTAATCGTATCATGTGTGGACATGGTTAATGTAACGTGGTTTATCAGTAACCGGAACATATCAGTAACCGGAACACTTTTACCTCAATTACCCACATTACATTAAAATAAAATTACAACAACACCATAAATTAGGATTGAATTATATACAATCTAAAGATCAACTAATGCTGGATCGAACTGACAAGTTCGTGCATTATGTAAAGTACTACCGCATTTGCTACATCGTCGTATAGTAGCTTGCCTCCTTGCTGAAGAACCATCATTTGTATATTCGTCGCGTCGTATCTGATCTTCTACATTCTCTTGTTCTAATATATTATGCCCATCTTCTATTGAAAGTGCTCCTCCTTTTCGTATTAAAGCTTTTCTAGCTCTCCGGCGTTTACTAAGTGCTTCATTTGCTTTGCGGAGACTATGAACCTCAGCAGTTAAAAGCGTATTCGCATGAGCTAGGAGCTCTGTACCCTTAGCTAAAGCTGCAACTGTTTCAAATATTGGAGTAAGTGAGCTCCCTTGATGCCGAGCAATACGACTTTTCACTAAAGTGGATTGGGAAAGAGCTTCAGTTGGATTGTGAGGTGTTTGAGATTGCCATATATCAGGATCGGCTGATATTGATCTATTTGATGGAGTTCTTATTCGAATATCTAGCTTTGAAAGTACAATTTCCGGATTAAATGGGATTAGCCCAGCTCCGCGGAACCCAGCTTTACTATTTGATATAGATATTGCTTCGATATATGCAGCTTTGAAGGCTTGAAAGAACTCGGTTTTGGTAATATGAGTGATATGCGCCTTGATAAAGTTCTCGATTTGTCGATTATATGAACGCTTTAAAGGACCAAAACAACCGATATCGAGTGGTTGAGTTAAATGCGAAGAATGAGGTGGCAAACTAAGTAATATAATGTTGTGTTCCTTGCAGTATTCCTGAAATGCTGGTGATTTATGACTTTCATGCCCATCAAGCACTAGCATTCGATATCTACCCACTTTCCTACTTTCAGTATGTTTGTTGAAGTGCTTAATCCATTCAAGACCTGTCTCATTATCTGTCCATCCATTGGTAGTAGGTTTAATAAGCCAATCGTATGGTAAATCACCTTCGGTATACCAATTTGAGAGGTGGTATTCGCCTTTTACTATCAAAAACGGAGGTATATTATGACCTTCTCCATCAACACAAATAATCGCTGTAGCCCATTCCCGATTGCCTGGCTGTATAGCTTTGCTTTTTCCATGTCGATCAGCTTTAGTAACTACTATATATGGTGATATTTGTCCCATCATAAAGCCTGTCTCATCGAAGTTGTAGAAATCGCAGTCTAGAATACCATATTTGGCCCGCATATTCGATACTAATCGAAACCATCTTTCAATAAGCTCTGAATCTTCGCAGAGAACTCTTTGAAAGTCATAAACGCGATTAAAACGCGTCTTTAATTCTGTATGTCGTTTCACAAAGCGATGAGCCCAGAGCTTTCCAACCTTCTTCGCACCCCGCGTTTCGAGTATATAATTCGCCATATCTTCCACATCACTTATTCGAGGACTAAACCCTCTCTCGTCCATATCAATTATATATTGAAAAAGCGATTTCTCCTCTAATTCCGTCATTTTACAATGTATTGATCGAGATCCAGCTTTCGGCGTTCGACCGGCTATTCTGTAGGTAAGGGTAGTATGCGGTATATTATAGATTTTAGCAGCTCTTCGCACACTTAGTTTTTTGGATGAAGCAATAGCTTGAATGGCTAGATTAATTTGCGACTCTTGCATATTGATTTGAAAGGTTGAATATGGATTTAACGTGTGTTAAAGTTGAGAGGTGGTAATTGAGGTAAAAGTGTTCCGGTTACTGATATGTTCCGGTTACTGATAAACCACGTTACCTGAGGTTTCTTATATAATAAAGGTGGGAGGAAAGCAGGGATTTCCGTCACATTAAGATTTAGAAATTCTACTTGAATTTTCGAACTCATTTAAAATTTTGACAATATTTTTAAATAATTGAAATATAAATTTAAATCATAATTTAGGATTTTGGCAGCTTTCATACTGAAGCTTTGAAAGTTAATGCGTTGCTTTAGTTGACCGATACATTGCGCTACCTAATGTCACGGTTATGATGATGAATAGCGATAATTACAATAGATAAGAAGAGGGAAGTCATGATTTTTGCAGCTAATTAATAAACATGCTTTAAAACTACTAGTTGTATGGATAAACTTGGTAGTAGTAGAAATATATAAATGTGGGAAGCGAAATGGAAAGCATTTGTTGATGTATTTGAATTCGAACCTGGGGTTTATTATTGGGACACACATCATAACTTTAGGCTGAATAGAATGAGGTGCGATGAAAAAGTCTCCTCTTTAAGGAATTCTGGATCTAGATTTTACGAAATAGTAGTATCTTTTGATCAAACAAACATGTTTTCTGCTATTATAGAAGCTGCTGCCGCTCCACAGTGGTGTGACTACAGCACCACGCGGACGAAATCCACAAGCTAAGATCACATTTGACGAAGTAAAAAGATTCCTTCAACCATTCGCTGAAATGAACTTCTACATGAAATCATTCAATGAACGTGTTGAGACGAAAGTGTCATGGACAGACCTAGCATTTTATGGAGACTTATTATTTGGAGTCCATAAGTTTCTAAGTTGCATATATATTGGACATGCCTCCCACAGCTTGGCGCCCAGACGTTCTTTCGAAGTCTTAGACCAAACTATTCCTTTTCTGCTGAACATATGATTAATTTCAACGACCCAGTGGTCCCATAACACTTGCTACCATTACTGCTACTTCTCGTTCCCAGCTGCCATCCGTTCTTGTCTCGCCCTTGAGAGCACTTATTCCAGCAGGCGCTCTACTACCCTTCACTACACAATCACGGATCGCATCTCTGACACTATTACGATTACTCTTTAGCGTCCTAGCGCTAACACCACCCTTATTGATGATTTCTTGTACTTTTGTGGTCAATCCCCCTGCCAAAGTCCTCCAGAAATAACTTGGTAATGAACCCGTTTCTAAAGACGTCAGAAGAGGTTGAAGAAAATTCACCGGCGCCATATCGTCAAATGGTAAATTAAGATGTGGCGTAGGTTGGATAGATGCAAGTAGTGATTCTAAAGCCAAAATATTTTGACATCGAGCAGAAACCTCGAGGAGAGTTCGGTCTAGGGTGGGAAGTGTAGCCAGGGCGCGAGAAAGAGCTGCTAATGAGCTAGTAAGAGCAGTGCGGAGATAATCCTGAAGCGATTGGACAAGTAGATCTGGTTCCCATTTTAGTTTCTTCGCGCTCTTACTATTAAGCCCACTTGTAGAGGATAGAAGATATAAAGTTTTCAGAGCCGAATCTGTGCGCTCTTTCGTATCCCTGGTCTGCGCATATGTTGACGTATTGCTATTAGACGACAAATTGCTCATCGAGAATTCCCGAATAAGTTGTTGCGATCTAGAAAGTACCACCCGCTCTGCCGGGTTAATGATAGATGTTTGGAGTGTCCGCACAACATCTATCCTCTCCAATCCATGGCCTTCTTCTCCTGGGCCACTTTTCTGGAAAAGCTCTCGTATATTCAATAATGTATTCGAACATCGTACTAATGCTTTATGGTCCTCCTTCGCTCCGGGAACCTTAACAGGCGCACCCGTATTTCCAATTTCGGATAGTTGAATCTCAAGTTGTCTTCCCAATTGTAAACATCGTGCTACCACTCGCCCCAGTCTCACGGTCTCCCATAACCTACTAGCAACACTTTGGACCTCCTCTGCAGTTTCATATCGTACTAGAACTTCCTTTTCGAGTCGTTTGTACCCATCATTGAGACTTGCGACCTGCGAATCTATTTCTTGTACAATCCTTTGGCTCGATTCAGTTTGATCTTGGGTATGTGATAGGAGAGGTAGAGCGTTTTTAGTTGTAAGACTGTCTATATGTGTATTTATTTCTTGCGCATCGAATAAGACGCGGGAGAGGGGTGTCGAGAGGTCGAGGGGGGTATCGGTAGGGTTATTTGTCCCCAGAACAAGGGAATTTGCAAATGATGAGGAGGAGAATGTCGGAGAGAGAAAAGTTTCGTAATCGATATAAGAGTTTTCTTCATCTGCTGATGTCATCTTGAATCTCTAACTGAACTCGTTTGTTTGTACATCTGTCTGTACATTCAATGGTTTCGCGACGACGAATCTGAATGTCAATGATTTACTCATTAGCTGCTCCGTACCTACCATAACCTTACCTAGGTAGGTGGGTAGTTTAGCTTGTCGTGGAGCGTTTTTAGTGACATTGTGGGGAAGTCAATGCACGGACCATGCGGAGGATCTCTATCATTTCTAGATTTCTTTCACATCCCTTCACTCCATTCCAAGCTTCGCCCCAAACTTCAATACACTATCGAGATTCAATCCTTCTCCATCTTTAGTGAAACTATAAAGAGTCAGTTATTATCGACCTATTCATCATTTGATATCAAAAAGCCGTGACTGTTAAAATCATCAGCGGAATGTCCGGACTTCCATCGAGCATTGTCAGCTTAGCAAATTATCAACAATCCATACTCTTATCTTAAAACAATACAACTTCCAACTTGCAACTTCCAATTCCAAGAATTGTCTATTAATATGATGTGCTATTATTGATCTTCCTGCCTCAGAATTCAGAGGAAGTACTGGACCTGTGAATACTTATTCTTATTCGAAGCAAACTGCCAAAGATTGAATGTTCTTTCACGATGGCTTCCTTCGACAGTCGGGATCTTGTTCCATTTCCACCTGGTAGCAATGCCAGCGACACTTTGATCGAAGGAGTGCATTATAATCTCACAACATTGAAAGATTGGAATTATACTTATTATTCCAACGGCACATTTTCAAATGGATCCCTCTGCTTCATCCTCTTCAAACCCTACACCCCTCATTTACTCCAGAACGGTACTTTTCTTAACAGCACATCATGTTATTCTCCGATCGAGTCTATGGGAGCACGGTCTATAATCGGTCTTGCACTGGGAATTTTATTCCTGGTAAGTATTATGTTCACATTGGTTAATCTACGAAAACATGGCCGAACAAGCATGTCTCCTCGCAAACGATTCCGTGCAGTGAGTAGAAGATGGCAATGGTATTGGATGCTTATAATTGGGACCTGTGGAGGTATAAGCGGCATAAGTACCGTGGATGTCGATAGATACTTTTTACCAGAGTTACCTTTTGCTTTGACAAACTTCTTCTGGTTCTTGATGCTACCGGCAACAATGGCGGCCGTGTGGGAGAGTGTGAGGCATTGGGGCAGTTGGCAAGAGAGACAAATGCTCGATATCCCTGAAAACAGACGTGCACTGAGGGAAGATGATAGGAGGACGAAGATTGAACTAGTGATACCATTGGTCTTTTACTTCTTCTTTTGGTTGAATTTTTTACTGGTCATACCAAGATCATGGGGTTCCTTCGAAAAACAACGAGATATGGATCAAAGTAATATTATTGCTGCACCAGCTGCTACTGATATTCGCTTCAAACTCGCAGCTTTCTTTCTTTTTGGGGGATGGTTAACAACAATTTACTCTTTACAACACTCGATATATCACTACAGATCTCACGAACAGGGGTTTTGGAACCGTTTCATTGCGCTTTTCAGACAAACTCCTACCAAATTCGTCCTCACCCTCTTCCTTTCTTTAGTAATGATTGGATATATCGCAGCGATCTCATTCTATTTTCCAATATCCCCTCTCAACATCCATGCGAAAGTGGAATTCATATATCCTTTGGGTTGGGGACCAATAGCACTGATACTGCTCGTGTACGAAGTCGCCGGCTACTTGAATCCGAATGAAGATCGCGATCTACTCCGTCAGCGACGTATTCGCGACGTAGTAGCAGACGAAGAGATGGGATACACGAGGAAACCACGATGGTGGAGTAGACTACATGGGGATAACAAATTTGGCGGTGTGCAAGAGAGGATAACTGCTAACGTCGCTGAAGTCAATGGTGGAGTACTAACAACTAAGGGATTAGAAAGAGGGATGGAAATGCAAGATCTTCCATCGCCTACCAGAGATGAAAGAGATACTCAGCATCCATCAAACGAAATTGAGGCATTGGGGACGGCCAATGCTGCATTACATCCTCCGCGTCTGGATACCGAAGGAAGATTTAGGGATAGCCCACCAAGGACTAGAGATTCAGAAGCGAGTTCAGTGACACAAGTGGGGTCTGAACAAGGTGGAAGCACTAATAGTACTGTTTCCGTGTCGGCACACCCACAGCAGATAAGGAGTATGCTTGATGTCTAGTAATGATTTGATGAATACTTTAAGCGTTTTTGGGCTTCAAGGAGAAAAAGGCCAGCAGTATATTACGTCCTGAATAAGGTGATGATAGTAAAAGACGGGCATCGGACATACGATAGGCTGTGTTTGAATAGCAAGAAGAACAGCGAATAAATGGTTTGGCCTATTCTAAAGAAGCATGAGAAATCCATTTCTATAAAGTATTCTGCAAACTGTTGATTTCAGCCGCGCGTCGGTGGTGGTCATTTGAGTCTCCTCAAGTCCAAGAATCAGCATCTACTCTGTGGGCTCTTTGTACAAAGCACATTTCGTGGTTACTTAAAGATAAGGCGAGTGTTTATTGTGTAGTTCGCTTCCAATAATCTTGGGATTTTGGTTTTAAATATTATTGTCCCATTCCAAATAATTCCAACGGAAACTTAATCAAGTGATAGCCGAGATATCTGATCTTACATGGCGATTCTGTGCGAAAAGCTCTGTTTCAATATAATCATACTTGTAAACAAAGTGAAAAAAATTGCGGATACAACTGTAATAAAAGCATTCGCATAAAAGAGCACATGAGCACAAAGGATGGACATGTAATTGCACTAAGAGCGTTCTATGTCCTAGTTCATATTCGCTGTTAATTCAGTAGTTGAAATTTGGCATCCGACACAGTATCCTGCTATCACCAATTTTCTATGCGCTTCTGCAACTCATCCTTTAACCCAAAATTTACGACCACATCAAAGTGTTGATCATCAAATTCCACATCATGAAAATCTAAAATCTGGAATCTCTGTTGCGAGGCTTTCTGCACAGCGCAAGTCGGAGCATAATCCATAACCAGTGTCTGCGGGTTTCACCTGCACCTCTTTTCCCTGGGACAAGAGATTAAGTTGTCTCGACACTATCGTTTGGGCTATCAATTGGCTGATCTTTTCCCTGTTTTCTTAGTATCAGATTCTAGTGCGTGCTCCATTTCAACATCTTTATCTATCCCAATATACTGTTTGCTCATTCTGCATCGTAACGTACCCTAGGACTTTCGTGCTTTTTGGATATTCCTATTAACCACCTACTTTTCCTGGTAATCGTAGTTGAATGCGTCAAAACCCGCTATACATCTTCTTTCCAGACTGGATGGCGGCGAATTGACCGACCCGTGGTTTGCTTACTGGTATCTTCATACTCATTCCCTCCAGGTAAATTATAAGCTGCCAGTTCCTTTAGTAGCCGACTCGAAGAATTTGGCTTGATATTCTTACCGAAATCGTTTGGTAAAGCACTCGGACTGACCAAAATATCGCCTTCGTTTGATCCAAGCCCGGTTCTATCAACCATCTGCTCTTCCGGATTAGTGTTGAACATTTGATCCATGATATCAGACTGCATCAGGAGTTGACGTTTATTTCTTGTCCTGGTGATAGGCTTTATATCTTCGGTTCCAAGTCCATTTGCGGCTTTTAGTTGCTTTAACATGGCAGGGATTGTAGGATGATCAGGTATTATTGGCACTATAAGTGGGTAAGTCAGAAAAGTTCCGTTGGAATCGGGAACCAATCTGTACTTGCTGTAGATCTTTTCTTTACCATCATCCGTCTTATCAGGGGCTAGACCACTGACAGGTGTGACTATTTTGTCCTTTTTCTGGTTCGCAACGTTTTGCTTTTTCGCTGGAATATTCTTTGAGATTTTTTGACTACTAGCACTTCGTTTCTTGGACATAGTAGTAGTGTTTTTCATTATCTGAGGGTCATTGTCATCCGATCTTTCAAGAACCTGAATGCGTTCGTTGTAGCCCTGGGCCCTAAGAGAGTCGATATATTTACGCACAGCCTTTGCAGCTTTTACGATAATATAAAGCGGAATTATATCGCAGTCTTCGATTAAGCGTTTGATATGTTTTCGATATTCTTTTCCGAGCATCCATAACCGCTCAATATCTTGCACGGCTCTTCTTTCAACCAGTGTGAACGGGCCAGTGGGATTATCAAGACGAGGTCGAGGATGTCCGGAGAATTCTCCTATTGCTGGGAGTTTGGCTAATCGGACTACACGCCGAATTGCCTCCGCGTCTTCAATGTTGATTCCTTACAGGAACCGCATTTTACTTCTAGACGTGTTTTGTTCACTTGCTATCGCTGGTCTTCTGTGGAGTAGATGTGGGGTTGGTATGGTGTCTAGTTCTGATTTGTGTAAGATACTTTTCGCGTCGATGGAGGATTTTGGATTGTATCCCCAGCTATGTATGTTTTAGTGGTAAACTCGCTCGGAGAGAATCCAGGTGGGAAAATGAAGGTTACCAACTAGGTTTTCGGTTGCAGGAAGATGTACATCGGTCCGGTTTGTGGAGGAGGATGTGAGGAGTTGGAAGTCGGAATGCTCTGTAGATATGTTGAGGCTATTTATATGTGTATGTGAAGAAGTACCAATCGACTAAGATAGAAGTACGGCTTCTTTCTTACTCTCGGTTACATCTATCAAGAAAAGCTGTTGGATATCTTTCACCGTACCGAGTCTTGCCTCCCGTATTAGTCCCTCGAATTTGTTTTTCCGCAGAACGTATACGGTATGATGCGCTAATTGTTCACTTTGAGAATATTCATGAGCCTGCTGAGTGAATATTCATATCCTGAAACTAAAATTGGGAACAGGAACTTATTTGCTGCTGTTGGGATGAATTTTAACATATAATGGAAGCTTGAAGGTTCATTATCGGATATCATGATTGGAGTTTTATGGATGCAGATAAGGTTTCATTAACGGACTGGTAGCTATTACTTTCAAAATCCTTAACAAGCGAGAATAGATGGAGAGATGGAAAGTGCAAAGATGGTGAGTGGTTACTTATTTCCTCATTTATTACTTGATAACTTCGATGTTGATCTCGCTGTCGGTACTTTCATTTTGAATAGGGAATTAGTGAATGAAAATAGGAGTACTTTGGCGCTGGAAAATATTGGTCTTATCTTTCGGATATCTTGTTTGGAGTTTGTGTTTATTTGGATAGTTGGGAATATTTTGGATTATCATTGAAGATGGAAATGGTAGGGTTGTGTTCATGTCTTGATGGAATGGGGATGTATATGAAAAAGCGAGTGGGGGGCTTTTCTATCAATACTAGAAGTCGCAAGTGAGTGGCTGTAGTTTGACACCTGAAAATGCTGTTATGAATCTATATTCAAAATTTGAGGCAGGCTACCTGTCGATTTCTAAAAAGGGGATGTATGTATTTGGCGTATCTGATTTTGGGGAATTTGGTAGAGAGTGAAAGATAATAAGATCGATCTGATGGAAGAGGAAGATAGTATTCGATGGTGGTAATGTTACCACCGAGACTCATTGGCATCCATTGAGACACTCTACTTTTATGGCATTACCTCCCGAACTAAAGTTTTTCACGCCTTATATTGAGTCATGGGGCTCTACTCTTACTAAGGTTTCACGGTCTTGATAGATCTGAATCACGTACATTGGTAGTTTTTCAGATGGTGCTATTACTCCCATCGATTAATTTTTTGGATGCCAATGCTAATCTCCTGAATGTAACTTATGGTAATGCAGTGATCAAAAGGTGGAACTTCTGCATTGGGTTTATATCGTGTGTGGCATTTCTCATGCTATCAGCAAATGGATGCTTTTAAATGGATACTTGGAGAATTCTTGCCCGGCGAGCTACACTAGCAATGCTTCACATAACTTTTCCATGATGAAGCTTTTTACCCTGACAGTCAAGCTCACCAGTGAACCAAAGTCTAGATGAATGGTTGAATTCAATATATGGAGTTGGCATATCTGCCTCCAAGGTCTATCTCGCACGAATGTACGGAGGTATTGGGTTTCTTGAGAGCAAAAAGAGCATCAGATTGAATTGATTTTTTCTCTAGCTAAGCAGTTCAGCTGCGAGTATATATTCAAAAAATGAAGGAATAAGGTTAGGTATTCAGCCTTCGGAATTAAAGTGCTTTGAAATCAAAATATTGAAAGCAAACAAACAGTATACCAAAAAGGAAAGAATGAATTAAAAGTTGAGTTTTGTTTGCTCCTTATATGCATCATGCAATATATATGCATATGCTGCCAAGATCCCAGGAGGTCAACAGGAGGAGAGACATCGAAAATGCGGAGAATGCAGGGCAACCAGAGGCATAGATGCTAGCTTAAACTTCTGAATAACGAGAGGCGTAGCACCAAGTTTAGTCTCTAATTTTGTCTTGAGCATATAGATGCAAATTTGAGCTGACATCTGCACGTAGCTTCGTCAAATGAGCCGGGCGGCAATTACGATTGAACTTTTGGTAGTGTCGGCAGAGATATCTCTTCTTTTGCCCTAGGAAACACCCTCGACCCATTCCACTAAGCTTATTGTTATGTAGAGATGTCTTCTTACGAGTCCTACAAAATTTGAAAGAATGAAAAGAGGATACAAAGAAAAATGTCCCCTGTATACAAACTTCAGTTTGCCGAGATGTGTTACTTCGGCAATGCACAATACAATGTTCTAGTCGAAGGTGATGTCATGATTTTAGGAAATTTTTGATGGGAGTTCAAATCGCCTACATATTAAATTTCTTATACTTTTAGGTCAATTTACATGTGCCCAGATAGAAATAGGGCAACACTCCTCCGCAAGACACTGAGACCTCAATTTTTTGCGGATCAGGTCAACTTGGGCGCTGTTGCACTTGAGCTAGTTTACTAGCACTTCCTAGTTTGAGCATCTGCATGTGAATAGTTTTTCTCTTAACACGTGGCAATGATATTCTGGACTAATAACACATTGACAAGCCATCAATCAGCGATACCTGCAAATTCGCGCTTCCGGTATTATCATCACCAGAGAGCGGATGGATGAAAGAACTACTTGGATTCCCCTTGGAAAGGAAAGAGAGTAGGAGCACTAACTGCTTGTAATATGAATATGTAATAATCGTGGAATGTTGTACAGAGTAATGGGGGGATTTTCCAAAACAAGTTCCATGATATATCGATACCAATGTGAAACAATGTTCCTACCTTAGCTATAAAGACTTCTTTATACCGGATTGAGGGATTCAGGGGCAGACTTTCGCCTTGGATTCCAATGAGAAACCCCCTTTTACTGTAGATGCATTGCTTTATCCGGATAATATCCTACAATTCATTGTTTTCAGCGGGCACAAAGAGATTCAAAAAGAGGCTCGGCAGACAACAGACATGAAAGCATTCGCAAAGCCCTCTGACTGTTGATAATCCCGCCTCCGCAATCAGTAAGTAGAATACTTGACTAGGTAGTTCATCTCATCTTTTACCTGAAGCCATCCATCTTGATAGATACAATAGTTGTACCGTAGTATCTTTGTAAAATTGTCTGTATATTAATCAATATTTATAATTCAATTAGCCTTGTCCAATTCCGTCTGCTGTTTGCGGACAATTCAACATCAATTAACTGTGCACGGACCAATAAAACGATAAGAACCTCTAATCAACAACACACGACCGAGAAGTCCGATGGAAGAGTAATACAACTTCCACGAGAACCTCAATATAGAATGGAAAGACGACTTGTATGACCTGAAAGCTCCACTTCAGTGTGATACTGAATGTCTCATAGTAGACCACAACAAGATGTCTGCCAAACTTCAATCATCTAATCCTTTCAGGAGAAAAGCTGCCTTCCCTTCTTCGACCATCTCTCCTTCTTCGATACCTGCTGTCAACCACTTCGGGGACTCAGAACAATCTGCGAATCCGAATACCGAATATGCATATTCAGAAAGTCAAGATGGGGGAAAGAAGACATCCAAAAAGGTTCGAGTTCAGTCTCCACCACCATCATCCCCCTCAATCCCGGATTCTACATCGACTATAGGGGAGGATTCGGGACCTTTCGAAAACCCGATGCGAGTACCTCGAGAGTATGAACAGGATCCATTTGACAGTCTTACATCTGATATATCTGAGGATGAGGTGGAGGTGGAGGATAAACCTCCAAGGGCTCCGATTCTGAATCCATTTTCCAAGACGTTGCAGACAATGGAGAATCCAAACAGAGATGCACTAGCTACATCACCTGCAATTGTTACTACCTCTGGGAGAGCGTCTATGGATGTGGATGCATTTAAAAGGTTATTGATGACTGGGAATGCGGGGTTGGGAACTTCTACCCCACTGCAATCCCCTCCTGTTCATGCATTAAGAGATGAAGGCAGCAGTAGTACGGATACATCTTCTCTATCACGACAATCGATTTTTGAACCAGTACAAGAGCCACATCCGGAATCACCAAGATCATCACATGAGATATCAGAACCTGGAGAATTACGAAGGACGATTTCTGACTCTTCATCATTACATGTGAAAAAGAAACCACCTCCACCGAGTTCGAGGCATGGTAAATTGATTAAAATGGAACTGAGGGATGAGCCTATGGCTGAGACTCCATTATCTCCTCCACTGGAAATTTCGGCGACAGCTCAATATTTTCCTATTATGACATCGACGCCGAATCGCTCCTTAACAGATTTGAACAAGCCCTTACCTCCTGCGCCACCTCGTGAAAGTGGTGAATCCGAACGAGAATCACCATTTGATAGAGAATCCGCAGGAAAAGTACCCGAGCCACCATCTCCATCCTCATCAATAAGACGAAAAACAGCTCCTCCACCACCTGTCACGCGAAGGCACAGTCAACTTGTTGGTGACTCAAAATTGAGTCGAAGTAATTCCGGCAGACTTTCACCAAGGCTTGAAGAAGACAATGTATCCGTATACTCAATAGAACCTGGGCGACCTCGATCTGACAGTGGAAAAGTACCACCTCCACCCCCAACACGAAAACATGGTCTTTCTCGAACTCAATCCCATCACGTATCTTCCTCACCATCTGCAACATCATTGCCTATTCCACCGCCAAAAAGGGGATCATCAAAACAAGGTCGACCACCATCAATACACAGTATCGAAGCTCCCAGTCCTCATATTTCCAAACGCGCCTCTATGCAAGGACCGCCCCCACCTCCTCGTGCTCGTCAAACACGGAATAGTCTTGATGTATCTCTAATCACACCTTCCTCTTCAAATCGTGCTAGTGGTGAATATCGACGAAGTTCTGATGGCCCTTCCATGTCACAAATTTCACGGTACGAAGAAAGCAGTGCGGCAACTCCTACGGGTGTTAATACCAACATTCTAGCAGATCTTAGTGCCTTACAACAAGAGATTGATGCACTAAGAAACCAATCACAACAACGGCAGCGGAGTGTCACATGAATATAGCATTGTGGACAAATTACTTATTCACCCTGGTGCTCATTGAGCAACTTCGGAGTCAAGAGCATATGTTATGGAACGTGGTAATGGTGAAACTCTATAGTTCACACCGCTATGTAAAAGGAATTGGAAAGTCCTATACTTTCGAAAGCGGTTGCAGCGCTATCTGTAAATATTTGGAACTGATGGATTTATGTTGGAATACTTGGAATCTGGCTCAAAAGGTTTGAGCTTCTTGGACATTAAGCTTTGGTGTTTAGCTTGGGAACTGTATGGGAGATTTGGAGTTGGGCATGATGGAGTACCGCCCACTTGGGCCTGTTCTATTTGAGGCGGGCTTATTGAGTTTGGACTTCCAGCTTCTTGGATATGTCATTGCTCCATTCCTGAAGCCATTGGAAACAATGAAGTAAATGGACAGGATACCAAGGGTGTGACTTGAAGGATCCAGCTTGTGGCCGCTGCTGATTCCGGCAGAAAACAGGGCAAAGCACGGCGAATTAACCATAGTTACGGAACATGTATCGGTGAGGCTGAGGCATGGATGGTCCTTGTTCCGTTTATTCTTATACAAAGCCATTTAGAAATTCGAGAGGTCATCAGGAAGCGAGAAAAAGCACAGAACCACGAAGAGCCCTGAAGAAGATTGCTGATCGATCGGATCGACAGTGCGATGAGCGGGAGTTTATTGTTTCGTGCAGGCGGTGGGGATGGGTGGAGGCGTTTAAAGTGGGTTTGGATCGTGCGAAATGTGCATTGATGAAGATTTGCAAGTTTGGAGCTAGGAAGGGAGCTAATGGAAGGCGCGGTGAGTAATGGGGGTGCGGGAGTACCTCGGCCACAAAGTGACGGACTGGTTGGAAAGTTGGAGGATTCTGGGATAGGGCTTGTAGACTTATTTGGATAAGACTTGGTGGTGTGGGAGGGGTGTACTACAAAGGTACACATGCACAATCACTAATCACTTCTGTGCCACGGTGATCTTTATTGGCACTCTAAGGGGGCAGACAAGATGCATTTGTTGGAGGGATCATGTTCGAGCAAGCTGCACCTGGAGGGGGGGGGGGGGGAAGAAAGTTTATACACTCCACTATTGCACATATGGCTGGTTGACTTGGGAAATATTGTATACTGTAAAGCGCTAGGGATACCATGGAGTAATATGACATCGAAGATACTACATTATTATCAATACGGATCTCTATAATTGGATTGGGGGTAAATCCCGACGACTTTGGGTAACTGATCTCGGAAGGAACTTGGATCAGATCATTATCTGGTTTGATGCATGGAGGGATCAGGGGTCAGTGGGTTTGAGAGGGAGATCATTTGTTCAATTGGTTGGATAGGGGGGTTGAAGTGAGGACACTGCATCGTGACTATCACTAGCTACAATTACAGACAATCATATGTACACTGTCCACTCAGCCTCATCTTGTTACGAATACGTAGTACGTATCACAAACAATGAACGACTATAGTTAAGTCTTTTGTGCATCAGCATATGTTTTAATATCGCCTTATACTTTTACTGTTACTCTTAATGTTACTATTAATGTTACATATCGTCATTGTGTCTCAGTTTTGTAGTATCCAACTCCAAATGCACATGCAAAGAAATCTTCGGAATCTTCGGTAAATCTAGTGGGTTACGGGGCTGGTAGGGAGGAAACCGGTCATGTGCACACGTATAATTAAGTTAGGGTTTGAAAAGAAAGCTTAGAAGCTTTAGCGTGGCATGGGACTTTTGCAGCGCAGAGCTTGGATTGGTATTGGGGTTGCGAGGTGGTGGGAACGCGAGCTTGCATGTACATGGCAGTTCGATGCGAAAAAGTTTAATTTTGGTGCTAAGGATGCGGCTAGTGGTTGTGGACTAGTGGTTCTTGATCCTTCGCTTATTTTTTTGTTGGTTTTCTTGTTGGTACAGACGTAGAATGCTAGAGTAGGTTGATGCGAATGCCTATTAATCATTCACTCTTTGGGATTCCCGAGATGGGAATTGAGTTTTCGATCTTCTGGTACGGTTGCCTAGAGGGTTTGCTACTCCGAAACTCTATTCCTGTGGTAATTAGAGGTGGAATTGTCTCGTTTTCTTGGCGCTGGTGTGGTAGGTATGTTTACGTTTTGGCTTGCACGTGTGTATGTGCTATGTATGTCTTGTGCATGATGACTTTAGTAAGGGGTGGACACACATGAGTGGATTTGATTGGTTTCCCATGGGTCGATTTGCATAAGTGAGTTTGTTTATAGAGTAGATCTGGTCTTGGTTTATATACTGCTTTATTTGGGGATTGGGATATGGTAATTGCGACCTTGGACGGGTTTGCCTTGAGATGCTGCTCGCTATGATGCCACGAGGCACCGACCGGGGAGATCTAGATAGTGTTTTTGATACTATCTGCTTTAAGAAGAGATGATTATTAGGGTAGGGAAATTAGACGGTGATTTATTTTCTCATCTCTCCTAAATGTAATGGAATGGGCGGATCGGTGGAAGATTGTAAGTGTGAGGTTAGGATTTAGATGTTTACTAGGTAGGTAGTTGAAGATTGTCTTATTGACGAGGGAGTCTGAGGGTAGGGGTGCGGGAACGGGAACGGGTGTCTGAGCGTATGGCATAGTATGGTTTGGTTTAGTCTAGTCTAGTATGGTTTAGTTTGATATTATATGGGTGTATTTATATATATAATATATGTGTATTTACTGGATTTATTGGATTTATAGTTTGTGGAGTTTATATTAAATCATAATGTTTCGTGTGTATCCAATATTCAATATTTGATGTCAATTAGATTAAGTTCATTTAGTTCTTTTTTAAATGCTTATTATTATATCATGGGCTGATGACTGAGGGCTGATGGATACAGGAAATAGGGGAGTTAGTCGAGGTAGATTGATTGAGATACGTTGATAGATAATAGAGATTCATTGGTTTTTGTTTCTGCTTGTAAGATCGATGTTTGCTGGAAATGTTTGGTTGTAGGAGATTGGAGGTGTGCGTATAAGTGCAAAGCGCAAAGTGCAAAGGTGTAGAATGAGATACGAGGGGAGGGGATGTAATAGAATGGAATGGAATGGATGGATAGATGGATGGATATACTTTTGGTTATTTAATTAGTGAATTTTAGATGGCAGATTCGGTATAAAAAAATAGAGGTTTATTAATAAATGAATAATAATCAGGAGATAGAATATAAGATATTTAATATCTATTACTGTTATAGAGGAAAATATTTATGTATTCAATTTATTTGTTTATAAATATTTTAACATGTTATTTGTTTTCTATGAATTTATAATATACTTGAATATTAAACTAATAAATTAAATATTAACTCTCTCACTTCTCAATAGTATCTGAATTAGAAACATAATCCTCAAAACCTCAAGATAAAAAATGAATAATATTATTATATATACGGTACAAGATACTATACCCGAAAGAAATTTTTTGAGAATAGTCTGCAAGGATTTTCAAGGGGGTGTTGTACTAGATAGATGAATGGATGGATGGATGGATAGATAGATAGATAGATAGATACTAGGCTGAGAATTTTATAAGCTGGGTATCAATTAAACCTTGGCTATATAATTAGGTAGATTAGATATTGTCAGAGAGTTCTGTTTAGATGGGATAGGATGGAATAGGATAGGATGAATAGATAGGTGCTGAAGAAGGACCTAAGATGTATGAGCTGAAATCTCGTATGTGATGGGTAGATAATATCTACTAGCTATATCTCATGTTTGGAAGCTGTGATGTGGGAAAGTTGGTTGGTTGGATGAGAGTTCTTTGCTGTGTGCATGGTGTGGTGGCTTGAGATTAGGAATAAGAGTAGGTAGGTAAGATGAGCCGCAGTGGTGGGATGAAAGTTTTATGTTATATTATATGGCGATAGGAGAGAGCTGTGTGTGGCAGTTTGTGGTACTGTGGTAAGCGATGCGTATGTACAGTGATGTGTGTATGATTTTGGATACCTGGTTCATTGATGCATTTTATATTATGAAATTGATGGAGTAGATGGGATGCCAAGGGGTAGAAGATAAGAGTTAGAGAGGGTTAATGTAGTATTGTGGGCGTATACAGCATGTGAGTAATTTATACTTCCGATCGCTACGCTTTACAGATGCCGAGTGTGAAGCGAATATTGAGGTGATCGGGGAAGGGGGGAGAAATGCAGGAAGTTTTCTGTATGTTGCATAATGGTTGGTTGGGCGGTAAGCTTGTGACGGGTATATACATGAGGTAAAAGAAAGAAATGGATCAAGGAAATGCCGAGATGAGATGTAGTGATTAGTAGAGAAGTTTATCCATATACTTGGAACTGCTTGGGGACATGATATTTTCGTATCGGACATTGCATGAACACATGTGAACACTGAATAGCAAGGAGATTTGTCTCCGCCCCCGCCGCTGTGTCTTCCCACGTGTAAACATGATTACGAGGCTTTGCTTTGATATTGTTTTACTTTCCCACTGTAGTGTATGCTATTGACGAAAACTAGTGAGATTCCGGCTTCTTGTATCGGAATGAGGTGCTTTGGGTGTATGCTGATCATCGCATATGATATAGTAGAATTCCCGATCCATTCGTTCATGCAATGCAGACAGATGCATATCCACAATAGCATGGCATGAATTATTGATTCTTAATAGCCATGTAGTTAAACGAGAGGTGCAACAACAATATATGAAATCTTCACTAAAAAGATGATCCAAAAAATCCGAATCCCGCAAAACACCCCTCTACAAATCCACACGGCAAGTAAAATTGATCGACCTCACGTATTCCCCCAATAATCGAAAGCCATAGAAAGAATCCAGTAACTCCCAGCTCCCCCGTTTCACCAAAACGGTCTTGCTGCATACTCCAAGAAATCACCTTGTACCACATCGGGAAGCAAGAGCTGCAAAGGCGCGCATCTACAAAGTCTGGGGTGCTTGTTTGGGGGCTGTATTCGTTGGAGATACGAGATATGAGCCACACTCTCCCTCATCATACATAACCCGACTTGGGATGGTAAGACATGGTCGGTGATCTAACGCTTGTTAATAATCACCACTTTCTTCGAAAACTAGGATTGTAGATCCAAATCAAACGCTAAATATATTTTCAAAAAAGAAAGAAAAAAAAAACCTCCGTAATGTACCGGTGAGAAACTGATACATCACATATCAAATTCCACCGATTATATCGTAAAATCGGGGATGCTAAAATGGCTTTCATACAGATGAACAATATGCAATGAAAATATTAGTTGCAAATCCAAATGGGTATGTTTCAGTAGTTTTCATCTGGAACATTTCGTCAATTGACGGTTGATGATTGCCATGCTAGTGACTCGTGGATAAGATGCATACGGAATGTGTAGTGATCCCGTGGCCATGTGTTACTTGTGATAGGGATGCAGTCTTGGTAATTTTTCGATATAGCATTGCCAAGTGATTCTAAGATATTTCGGGTTGGAGAAATTTTGGATGGTCGGATTGAAAAAGTTGTGTTTGATGATTTAATAATTTTCATTTTTACTTTTATTTCGATCCGAGTTCGCTTGAAATCTTTTCTTGATGAAGGGATGGATGGTCATGACTCGTTTGAAGGTTAGCTTAGCTTGCTTACCTTACTAGATTTCACATGCATTTATTGCATTCGATTTTCGATCACTAGTGCTAGATTGGAGATTTCCAAACGAAGCTAGATGGAACTTACCAAAACTTCTAATTCCTTTGATGATTCTCCATGTGTGTGAACACACATTTCGTCACATCCTTTTTGCCCTGGCAGCAATTTCTTGGTATTTTGACCTGTTTGGTAAAGGTAACATGGTATCTTTCGTCTGATTGATTCAACCTCTCCTGAAATGTATACAATGCGGGGTTGTGGCGTGGACACGGGTAGACACATTTACAATTTTTATCCCCAACCCTCCACTTTTTACTGTGATGCCCAGCTTTCTCGTATTGTGGTACACAAACCAAAAGAAGGATTGCATCTCGAAAATATTCACTATTGCAAAATAGTGACAAGTGCCCAGCTACTAGCATCAATCCGTAGTTTCTAATATCCCACTCTCCACTCTTCATCAAACATCACATCATCCCAAGTCACCATCGGAACTCATGACCGAATTAGCGAAAGCGATCCCCCCCATTTCTTCTCGAATCTTGCTTGAACCACTCGTCTAGTAATCCCCATACTACGTACATTTCAATCATTTCATGTACTGAAACCATATACTGGTACAAACACAGTAAGCATCTACAAACGAGCGGATCAAGGCTAAGGATTTGCTGGGTAGGATTCGTGTAGGGATTTATTAGGTAGGGAATAAATAAACAGGAAACAAACGAAAAGGTTTGTGCAACACGAGATCTCATCCCATCAAATTTTTTTGTACGACGCGGGAACGAAAGGTTTTAGTAGGTGCTTCGCATATGTTGAGGTTTGCGGATATGCGTTCTAGCCCACCCTCTAAAGAAGACAGATTAGTTTTATGAACCAAAAAAGGGGAGTATTGCATATAGACAGTGGAATATAATATCTATGACGAATACTCGCATCCATACATATCTTGAACCTAGCATATAACTGCATGGGAATCTGCAATTAGAAAACAGCCCGAAAGAGCACACGGTTCGGCTGTACCAAATTTCCCGCATCCTTTATCCTTAAACCAATCATTCCTACTCATCCTATTCCACCTCTAGTAATCCTAGAGCTGAATCCGAGCTCATGGAACCGAAAGCGTATGCATGACGGGATGAAAGAGAGGCTGATGAAATATCTAAAGTATAATTCTCAGCGACGGACGGGCCGAGACTTACATAAGTCGGTCCGCGTTGGAGTGTGATTTCGGGTTGGAGGTGTGATGTGATATCGGTAAGGATTTAGGGTTGGAGTGCAAAATATTGAATTGGGTGGCTGAATGGATTATTTGATGTAGTGGATGGTAGGATAGGGATTCTAACGGCTCTGCTTATGGTATGGTTTGGTGTGGTTATTAGTTATCGGGTTATAGGAGAATAAGAACAGGAAAAGGAATAGGGAAGGATGAAGTAGGTTGTAATGATTTTCAATACCCCTTTTTTTCCTCCCGTCCTTCCGATGCATTTTTACTGAATGTATCTATCTTCTTCTGAGCTGAAAGTCGGCAATTTTGATACAGCCCTGCATATCTTCAAACCATTGACCAATTACCTATCACTTCATTCATGAATCATCCCAAATTCCCTTCCTTCAACCTTTGAACCGTGCGTGCTTTAAATCGAGGATCCTCCCGTGATCAACCCCATTCTTCCCTTATCACCATCCTAGTCGAAGGTTACACAAGATTCAAGAAAGTGTCACCCGCGATGGCTCCACTCCACTCCACCCCGTCGACCGAGTCCTGACAATTAAATTTCTGACTAATTAGACTTTCTCGACTTATATTGATATTCATCAGCATCAGCACTTATTAATGATCCTTACCCCATTACCAAGAAATCATCCAGTCACCAACGGTCTTGGGAACTCAACGGGGAAGCAATAATTGTCCATATAGCGATGCTACCATTATTGGATAGAGCGTGTGTTAAAACTATCCGGATCCTGCCAAAGCTAAAAGGAAAAGAAAGCTAGAGCCAACTGTTTGTGAATCCCGGGTCTTCCGTCTATTTGCTCCCTTTCCAGAATAGAATAATGCGAGGATTGGCATTGATCGTAGGACGAGGATGAAGATGTCTGTGCGAAAAGGAGAGAGTTTAGATCAGATCACATCATATCGTAGGTATCGTACCATGTCTTGAACGATGATATGGAAAAGTATAATGCATCTTCAATAATTAATCCCTAATTCTAGACGCTAGGTATAAGTAAGCTTAGCTTAGATACCTTCCTTAGCTGCAAAAGGAAACCGATATAAATCCCCTAGCCGTAGCCCCTAGCCCAAAGCCCCCAGGCCCAACCCAACCCTGCCGTCCCCAAAATCTGGTTCGGTGCTTACGGTCGGTGGAGAAGCTTAGAGTGAGTGTATGTATGTATGTATGTATGTATGTATGTATGTATGTACACTGACCTGAAGACTCACACACCGGAGAGACTTCCCATCCTAGAATCAATAGTGATGATTTTTATGTCAAGAGGAAGCACAGGACAAGATGATCAATCAAGGAGATTAATAAGTCGCTTCCCCAATTCGTACAAACACCATCGGTGCCCCCTGAAAGATTCGTGTAACGATGAAGTGGGAACTTGGCGTCCTCATGTACCTTTGCGATAGGCCCTCTCGGCCTTCGGCTTTTCGCTCAGCGGTAGGTTGTGTCACGTTGAGTGAAATAAACGCTCAAGTTACCTTGGTAATGTTAAATTTAATGATCTGATGTTTTAATATATGAGATTGTGGATTGAAAGGACTGGATGAGAACCTTGTTTGGGTTTGGTTTATCTGCTGATTTAAGATTTTAAGAATTAGGATATATACTAATAGATAGATAGATAGATAGATTAATCATCTATCATCCTTGATTTAGCTTGCTTCCATCTTCTTTGGGTAAGGTTGAGTAAATGGATATTGAACCCTTTAAACCCTACGTCCGGAGTTATACATGTACATAGATATGGTTCAGGAATTGGCACGTACCGAATATATCTGCATTAATCAATCATTAATCAATCTTGGCGGAAACCTTCCGCTTTCTTCAAAACCTCTTATCTCAATATGAAACCTTTGAATTTCTAGAATTTGTATTCGTAATCATCAGATATGGATGGAGTCATCAACCACGAAATCACTCCCCTATTAACGCGTATCCATATCCACAACCTTCATCATAGGAACCAACATTGAACTCCATAGCTACAGAGAATCTAGGCGGTCTTCTCCACCAGTTCATCTCGCACCACTTGACTATCTAGTATTTAGTATCTAGTATCTTTCGCTGAAGAACGAGAGGCTTAGGTAGTATTAGCCAATATCGAACCCCTTTCCCATCATCATTAAACCCTAGAATACGGAGGATCTTTATTTCCGTCTTCTTATTTCCAAGCTCGTTTGCTTATACATGTTTTCTTGTAAGGTAAGATAGAAAGCATGTAATCTTAGATCAAGCTAAGATAAGGTTAAAGTTCCTCGTGTGATTCTCCAGATGCAGATTTTGACAGGAGGATGCTTGCATGCATGGTTAAGAGTTTCAAATGCGAGGTATACCATGATTTGATCTATCGACTCGTCCATCCATTCATCTTTTCATTTACCTGCGACAAGTTCAGGGAGTTTTAGACTGCCTACCTTTTCCGTTCTTAGCCGTGTGTGTCGGAAAAGCTCTCGCTTAATTATAGATTTCTACTCCGTAGATTACTCCGTCCAGAACTTGGGGCGCGGGGAGAGGAAGCGGAGTTGGGGTAGATAGAATCGGCAGTACGAAGGATCTCTAGAAAAAAATTTTAAGGTTCTGTGCGGACACACAGCCCTGAGGTAGATATTAAAACCTCCACATGATCAAAGCATTTGACCTATGAGCCTTGAGGTTTGAGGTTTGGGCCGTGGGCTTTGGGCCTTAGATGCAGATGCAGATTTCGATTTCGATATAGATTTCGATCTTGATCTTTTTGCGACTAAAGATAAAGTTTTAGGGCGGAGATTTGCGGAGAAAATTGGTCCGGAGTTGCATCTTTGAGTGTGATATGATCCTCGAGTCAGGATGTATTGTGTGGAGAGTTGGGATTTGGGAGGCGAGAGGGAAAATTCATCTAAGCATTGGAGATATCTGTCAACTTACTTGAGTAGACGGATAAATATATCTTTTTTCTAGACTTCTGACCTGAAGGATTTTTGATTGAAAAAATTGCGTACTGTATTATAAATCTTATTCTACAAGTATAGAGAATAACTCGAGAATCTTAAACCTATTGTTAGGATTAGAGGTTCAGTTTTATTCTAAGAAAAATCTCAGCTGATATTAATAAGATATATAATTATTAAAAAAATTGAATTATTTAAAAAAAATTTAGTTTTTAAATATATATATATATATTTATAAACTTATTGTGTTTACTATTTATATTTATTATACATACTTTCCACCAAAGAAAGACATCAGAGATTTCTTGAATCTTTAGGCTCAGAAGCGAGAGGGGAGAGGTTTGAGTTTGATAGCATGAGATGGGATGGAAAGATAGATGAGGGTTATTTATAGAGTATACTGTATATTGAGTTTTTGTAGGGAGGAGGGTGTGGTTGAGAGGGAAGATTGAATTGGATTGAATTGATGAGGAGGGTCCGCTGAGGAGAAGACGGAGAGGCAGATGGAGAGAGAGATGATGGAAAATCTTATTTAGGGTATTATTATAAAAAGAGTACTACTTGCTCTGTATATTACTACCTACTAGGTACTTATCATTTACGATTTATTTATATATATCTAGATCTATATCTAATTGAATAAATAAATCAATTACCTAATAAATTACTCATTACAGGGTTACTTAGTCCCCTTCAAGTTATGTCTGTGCAAAGCGAAATAAAAATAAAAATACAAATAATGATCAGTCAGATTATATACAGTAATAGATAATAGTCAAGTTTAAGATAAATAATACTCTACATAGGGTAGTAGTAGAGTAGTATTCCGGAATTCCGAAAGGAGTTAATGAATAATGGATGAGGAAGGAATGATATCATTATTCTCCAGATTATCATTCAATAAAATACTGTAACTAGGTAATGTAAATCTATAGATTCCCGAGGCGGATCAGCAAAAAGATTCGGAGACGAAAAATAGAAAACAGAAAAAAAAGACGAGAAGCTTGCTAGAAGAGGATTGATCTCTGCCCTATATGGTTGATTGGTTGTTGTAAGATCAGATCTATCATCTTAGTAAAGTTGGTGAGTGCAAAGGATTGGTCAGCAAGAGGGACGAGTCTCCCTCGGTTGCCTCTCTTAATACGCTTTAGATCCAATTTTCATCCGTGGTTCTTCCTGGTGGATTTCCGTCGTCTGTGTTTTGATACCTAGGTAATTGTTTGGCTTGGTTTTGGTTTGTTTTGGCTTGATTTGGGTACTGGTGTTGGTGTTGATGTTGGTGCGCCGGAGTAATTAAAAGATTGAGGGCCGGTCCGTGGTGTCCGCAGTTTGGTGTACGGGATTGAGACGAGACGGTTTTTGTAAGTTCACGTTTCGCTCAGACACATTTTGACAACTGCTTCTCCGTATAAAGAAGGGATGTAGGGAAAAACTTCGGTCTTTCAACCTTTTTGCTCTCCATAACTCGTATCATTCGTACTTCCATCTCACAGAAGGAAATTGAAGAGGGGGATCATTTTGTATGTGTCAGTATCAAGATTTTCATTCTCATCATCCTCATCCAAATGTAGATAGGATATAACTCGAGTACATGAAGATGTCTAAGATCTTGGGGTGGCTCAGATGGGAAGTGGAAGATGCCGAAGATAGATATTCGCAGACTTACTGATGTAGTTGATGATCTTCCTCTCCTCTCCATAAAAACGAAAAGCATCGACATTCGCAACCAGGACCCTAAATGGATGAAACTGGCATTTTTGGCCAACTGCTGCATACCGAAGAAGGGTCATTTAAAAAGTCATTTAAATATCTTCCGTGCCCACCATGGGTACTGCTGCGCTTCCGCATCGGTTCTAGAAAGAGGGGTTATTGAAGATGATGCTTCATTTTAGTCTTGATGAATCTGGATGTGATTCGTCTATCTGGGTAATATGGGTATGGAAAGGGAGGGTATTCTCTTGATCCTGGTATCACTCATACATGCTGTATCTAGGTATCTTGGATCGAGTCGTCATCTATTAGGCCCATACCTTTTTTTCTCATCTAGCAATCTCAAGAGAAGAGATGCACGCAATAACGGGGGGGGAATGGATGTACGGGTAAGAGAAGAGGTCCAGTTTTTGATGTCGAAAGGGCCGACGACGATCAGTATTTCCACTTCTGCAAGTATTCGTAGTAGTGTATGCGCAATGAATGTAAGTCTTGGAGTGCTATGTACGGAGTAAGTAGTAAGTACTGCTTAAGTGAGTGAATGCATTTGTAGTAGAGTCTGAGGGTAAATGGACCACGGTGATGGGTAGTTTTTGATGCCGATGGTGTTTTGTTGAGTGGTATGTTGTATGTGTTGTATCTGTTGTAGGGATGAAAAAGACCACAGTGGCCAAGTCAGGATCAGGACAATTCAACAAGCTCGACTCGACGCATGTACGCATGATGTTAAAGAGATGGAAGCCATCGCATTAGCCTTTGGTGGGGATAGTACTAGAGAAGAAACAGAGAATAGACCTATAACAGACCTTGAAATGTTCATTGCCCCCCCCTACTTTCTTTCACACATGTACACACGTCGATCTAGTATATTATGGGTATGGAATCTCGATTAATTATTAATTATTCATCAGTTCTGGTTAATATAATGAAATCCATTTATGAATAGCCTAAGTTTGCTCTGATTGCTTCGTTACCAATCATTCAACATGTTCCAATCAAGATTGCTGCAGATGTGTAGATATGCAGGAATTGTGCAAGGATATTCCTTGATGCCTTTTCGTTTCTACCTTGGACCTTCATTATTAGCATGAGGGAAATTCTAGCCTGCCGGTATATTTATGGTGATTAGTATATTTATTATGATTATCTATCTGCCTAGGTATGACTTGGTGACATTTTCTTGTAAGGCGGGGTTAGGGGGAAGGAAAGGTGTCAGCTAAAAGATCCGAGAAGGAATAGTCAGCTAAGATCCGAGAAGGAATATGATATATCACAGGATATGAGTAAATGAGTGAATGAATGAATGAATCCATTTCAATTCATTTTATTTCATTATATTCCTACTTGAATTATTCTTCTTTCATCTTATTCATATCTATTTTTTGATCATTCCTATTATCATTATCATTCTGTAACGCAAGATAAAAATTCCCATAACCTTGTGAGAAAGTGGAAACTTTCATCACTCTCTCAAATTCCTCAATCCCTCAACCATGGAATGTGGAACCCTATGACATTTTGTTAAAGAATCAAAGACGAACTTCTCGGGCTTTCTTGAAAGGGAAAGGAAAGGGAAATATTCAAAACTATTCCCGAATTCTTCCCTTTTGTCCCCTTCCCTTCCTTCCCTTCCTTCCCTTCCCTTCCCTTCCCCTCTTCTCCCCATTGATCGACCAAATTTCAAGTCAAACAAACACCCCTGAGCTGAAACCTTCCTACCGCTTCAAAACATATACATACACCTTGGAAACATATCATTCGTCCAATCAATGACATCTTCAAGACAACTACAAGATCCATCACAGAATGAAAAAAAAATGAAAATGTCAAAATAGAACAGAACAGAACATTGGATCCAAGGAAGCGTAAAAGTATATGAAATTTGGTCTGTCTTTTCAGCCTATATCTTGGTGTATTTTTCGGAATGTTACGTTTTTGGAGCTGAGCCTGCCCACCTGCATTTTTTAATGACCGGAGAGAGCCCATCCATCCCATGAGATCAAGATATCCGCTTCTAACAGAATATTCCAACTTGTTTTCCGAAAAAGTCGAAAGGGTTTAGACTGTAGAGTCTTTTGATCCTAATGCACGATTCAGGGACACGATGAATATCAGTGGTTTTCGCCCAAGAAATCATCTGAACTGAGATGCATGATTCTGGAACCTGAACTGATGTGATGGATGGATAGATAGATGGATGACATGTGTTACTCAGTTGATACTTAGTTGACTAAATTATATCTCCTCGATCACATCTACTTTTCTACTTTGAGTAATAGTTCCATGTATCACCTCGTGAGCCACACTATTATCTATCATTACAAATATATGAGGAAGATAACTAAACACAACATATCACAATCGCTTCCCCTCTCCTTTCAAATGATAAAAAAAAATTAAAAAATTATATAACATACACAGGTTTCCACCTTCACGATACCTCCATTTTATTTCTTTAATCTTCCCGTCCCCTGCAATACCGCAATACCATCCATCTCCTGGACCATCATCACGGACCATCGTATCTCGAGAAAACAATCAAACGGGTCTCACATCGGGCTTGACTCATCATCGTCTGGACTCTGGAGAAGTCGAAGTGGAAGTGGAAGGGAAAGACGGAGGAAGCATCCAGCAGAGCATCATCAACCGAAAAGGGCATCGTACGGTACCGTGGCACGCTACGTCCATAAGGATCTTGCTCCAATCCAACCTAAATCCAACCTACGTGCCGTACCGTACCTCTCTTTACCTAAGCTACCTGTTCACCTAGTACCTATTCACCTAGTACCTACCTACCTACCAACTTACCAACCCACCTAAGCTTTATTCTGCACCCACCACGGAACGAATTGCGACCCTGTCTTTGAGTGGTTTTTCGCTTAGGCCTGTTCATCCACTACGCATACGGTACCCATACAGTATCCATACATCCATCCATACATCCATCCATACCCATCCACCCATCCAGGACCCATACAGACAATTACTTCGTACGGTAAGGTCCAGCCTAGCCATCTGCAAGCAGTACGAAGCAACTTTGGAGCAAAGCGAAGCAAGGCAAAGCAGCAAAGCAGAGCAAAGCAAAGCAAAGCACAGCAACAAGCCTCTCTTAACCTTGCACCTCGATTTACCCAAAATTCATACCAAATTACCAAAACTAATTGTCACTTTTTGTTACCCTTTTCAACCTACTTGCAAATCCCAATTCTGGGGGTGGCCCTTTCTCTCTTGGCTTTCGTTATTAATACATAATAATCTGTACATCTTCTTGTCCTTGTGTTCTCTCTTGTACACCTACTACACAGACACAGACTACACTTACACTCACTCGTACATGTACGTTTATTGTACAACAAACCACACTTTTTTTTTCTCTCCGAAAACTTAGTTGTTGTGTCCGTCACACGTTCTACCATAAGAGGGGGGAAATCATTGTGCGTCCTGTTCTTACTCGGTTTTCGATACAAATACTGTACTCCATACGCCTTTGACGTTCGAGAGTCGATGCAGCAAGCGATATAAATCATTTGGCCTACCCATCCACACCCATACCCATACGGAAGTGTCCAGTACCTCACTGACTCCACTTCCTTTTGGAGATTTGAGATTGGATCGAAACGGAATTGAATCTCAGAGTCTGAAGTTTGTAAGGTCCCTCCTTCCCTCCCTTGTCAGATTTTCAATTTGCGCACGTTCATCTCCCGTACCTTCTTCACAGTTCACACCTGCACACGCACCAGCGACTCTTTAAAACCCCCTTCCATCCTAATATCCTAATCCTGACATCCTAACATCCTAACATCCTTCCCACCCACCCCCTTCACCTTGTTCAAAAAGTGTTCCACCCCCTTCATTATCTTTTGTTTCATTCGGTCAAAAAATCCAAAATAACCCTAGTCTCTCGTTATTAATTAATCCTCGGAACAGGCCCGCTAAATCGAATCTTTACTCTTACCCCGAAACTTTAACATTTCCCATTTTATCGGCAAGAGAAGACGGGGTTTGTTGGATAATAATACCCATATACTATTGTGAACCTCCTCTTCGAAATTCCAATCCAGAAGTCAAAGCTTCCATATCATCCATACATATCGCCCACAAACACATCATACATACATACTACATACACGCACACACATATACACACATCCACATACACATTCACGCATTCACGCATTCACGCATACACACATATACACATACATACACACCTACCTTCCTACATACATACATACCTACATACATTTACCAAAAGTACTTTATTACACTTTCATACCTCTACCCACATCATTCCCAGCAACTCACCTCCTCCAAACCTTTTTTACCTTTTTAACTTTTATTTCCAGCACAAACATCTTCGAATGATTGTTTGATTAAAACTTGGTACAATACACCGTGCTGCGTGGTTGTTATGGTGATTGTCATTAATAAATCGCATTCATCATTTTCTTTGGTCGGATCTTGCTCGGTAGGAAAGGTGGATATGGATATGCAACTTACACCTGTGTCATCAGAGGAGGCCATCTTCGAATGGTCAGATCATTCAACTAGCCCAGATCGAGACGACGTCGAAGAAATCATACGACAAACACAGGGAGTATACCCAAACATTCCTAGGCGACCAAGAGTGATCCGAGCACCAACTCGTCGACGAGTTCGAATTGACGAATCTTGTGGTGATTATTCGAGTGTCAACTTTCAACATTATAAATTTGGGAGAATTGAAATGAGAGCTGGCAGTATGGATGGTTCAGATGGTTCAAACTCCTCCGCAATTACGGTTATGACTTCGGCGACCTCATCGTGCGGTGATCCTTGGAGCGCAGGGGGATTTGTAGAGGAGGAGCAAGATGGCCATGAACATAACGGATCGGTGGAAGGTAGTTGGGATGGAGAACACATACATGAACACGATCATGATCATGATCAAGATCACGATTTTGATATGTTGTTGGAACCAAAATTGGAGCCTTTGGATGATGAGGTAAACTTGGAGTCGGTCGCTCCGCGCACATCTTCGACACTACCCTCGCCTGCGCAACCGAAACGACCCCGTGGTCGCCCGCGTAAAAATCCCGTACAAACTATCGAGCCATTGCACAAGATTGCGAAAGGAAGATCAAAGACTGGTTGTGTAACATGTAGGAGAAGAAAGAAGAAGTGTGATGAAGCCAAACCTAGGTGTATGTTTTGAGTTACCCGCATGGTCCCATCGCCCCTCCCATGATGTCATTATGCTAATGGTCATCCGTTACACAGGTATGAATTGCGAAAAGAATGCAGTCGTTTGTGAAGGCTATCCAGAAAAACAAGTCTGGAAGAGTGGGAAGGAAAAGGCTGAAGAAGGTACACCCTTTTGGAAATGCCAGCTATCAATACCGGAGATACTGATTAAGTCGACAGCAGCCCGTCTGCGTAGGGTCAGCTTGCCCAATATAACACTTCAACCTGTGATTCGGGGAGTCGAAACATCTGGAGATAAAGTTTTCTTCGAACATTATATCTACAGATTGAGTCACATTTTCACAGTTGAAGGGGCGGACAATAATGCATTCAAGGATCAGTTACTGCCAATGGCTGTACAACATGCTGGTCTCATGC